TTGTGGCGTGAACTCTTGCACATGTTGTTTCACTCAACTTTGCTGGGCTGCCCTAGTAGCCTAAAGGTTAATGCCAGGGACCTTGTTGCAGCTCGCACTCCTCTCTCTCCCTCTCCACAGGGTAATGTCTCTTTTTAATAAAAGGCAAAAGTGCCTAAAAAAACAAAATAATGTCAAGAATATACAACTGTGTAAGAAATTGTTCACTCTTATTTCTCCTCACACAATGCACTCACAGCAGACTTATCACACATCATCTTATTTAAACTGACCTTTTACCCCCACATAAACATGTTTCTTACATTGCACATTTTCTTCTCTTCTCCGTTATATGAGTAATTAAAATTAAAAAAGGAAATTATCTTAGAGTCATTTGGATCGTAACATCTCCAATCCACAAAAAAAAAAAAAAAAAAAAAAAAGATAGTTCCAACAGTATTCCCACAACTTGCCATGCTGCAGGCAACGAAGCTGGCTGAAGTCTATAAGCAACAGAGGAGAGGCAGAAGGAGTACATGCAATCTGCACATAACTATTATATCAACCCTTTCATTCATTCTTTGCGCAGTTTCTGACAAATACACAAATATACTTTCAAGCTTTTGTTTAAATATAACATTACAAACCTAATCATTGGTCTTTTAAAAAAGGGGAGCTTCACAAACATTTAAAATCGTTAGGCAGCAGGTTTTTCCCTACCGCATTTCTCCATCATCCTTTCCTACTTTAGACTCTTCTCCCACGAGCCAAAAAAGGTGCTTTTATACATAATGTTCCACTGAGGACAGAACAGCATTATGCATTGTAGATAAAGCATGTTGTGACGCTTTTTATGTTATGTCCAACTGTTGTGCCTTTCTTATAAAGGTTAAGACAAAAAAATGCAGTAAAATAAACTCATTCAGCCATATTCAAACTAAAATTCAAATTAAGAAAACTAAGACTGTATCCACAGACTAGATTTAAGATCAACATTCAAAATCACTGCATTGCTTTTGCTGCATTTCTCCAGCCATTCAAACTCCTCGTGTACCCTAAAATCTCTGTTCTTCTTCTACTGTTTGTCGACGCCTCTTACGTGACTGAAATTCTGGAAAAGTCTTTACATTTTTAAAACTGATTTGGAATGTACAGTCACATATCTGAACTTCAAATACCTGGTTACTGTAATTAAATAAATCTAGTTACTTTTTTCCTCCAAGTCTTATTCTTCTTGCGAAAAACCTTATTCCACAAGGTCAGTCTTGATTTAAAAAAAATAAATAAATCACTCTGGAAGATAATCACTCTGAAATAAATATAAGTAAATCCTACCCATTAGTGACCTTTGGCTTGCATAGAGACATTTTTGATTAGAAGCTATTTGCAGACTTTTTGTTGAAGAAGATTCTCTGAAAAAGCAGCAGCTTGGAAATGATTGGATATTAAAGGACTTGTTCGGACTTCAATATCGCTGTAATCCTAACTCCGCCAATTCCCACACTCCGTTGGCTTTCAGTTATGAATACATACTGCCCAAACATGCCCTCCCTGAGCATCAAACCATAACTTACAGTCTCACAGACCTTGCATAAAAAGTAGATCGCTGCTCGTCATTGCTTATTTTGCAACCTTTCAGCAATAACCCCATCGTCATCATCATCATCCATATATTTAAGGTAAGAAAATAAATTAAGCTTTACTGAACAAACCCCTTTTCTTTTGAAGCACTTAACTTAAAAGCAATTATGTTTCATGTCTCCACTAAGGCAAAACAGAAATCTATTTTGATGTCCCCCAACTACATGAAGACAGATCGTATGGGAGCACAAAGAAATTACACCAAAAATAACCCAACAAATTAAAATAAAAAATGAAATCCGAGGCAAACATCAGTCCTGCAGTAACTGTAAGAACTGCCCATCTGTCGTTGATCATTTGTCTTCCTTTCAACTCTCCTTCTGTCTCCATGCCTTCTTTCTCTTTCGGTCCTCCAGAAGAGTGTCTGACCACATGTTTATTTCCCTGCAGCGAGGAAAACTGGTCCAGCTCCAGTCTTGGCACTAAAGGGCTCTTTCTGTCGTTCCCGTCCTATTTAACCGCAGGGCAGTATGGACAGTCCCCTCCCTTGACTCAATCCTCGTGTGCGTGTCTGTTTGTCACCGAAATTCATAAATGGGCACACTGTGCTCTCGAACATGGTTTAGGTTTAGAGACTGGTACCTGCAGATGTTAGGTAGAAAAGTAAACTGAGACTAATAATCTGCATAAATAAACAGGTTCTAATTTGGCAAAAGAGACTGACATTTATTTTTTTTAAATCATTGATTCTGGTTTTGTAATGCTGGTAGTTACCATTCTGAGCTCCTATGGTAATAGTACCCCTCGATAGTGGCTGTGGACTTCTGGAAGCAGATGTAATAGAAGCCAGCGAAGGAGGCACCGCTAATGTCTTTGATAGTGTGGTCTGGAACTAGAAACTGCTCCTGAGTGCACAGGAAAACAAGAAGAGTGGAGGTTAGATCTTAAAGCTTACATGAGGAGAGAGATGAGGGGTGAACAGTAAGATTATATACTAACCTTCCACCTCATAAAGACATAATCACTGTTGTCCAGCGCTTCATAGTCAAAGTCATCCGAGTTGAAGTTTTTGGCATATTTGTAAAAAGGCTTAAACTTGCCCTGGAAAGAATTAAACATACCGGTAAGAGAACAGAAACTAGGAAGTGACAACAAGACAATGATTGCAACTATGGATGCAAAGTCTAATTTCCTTAACTGAAAGTCACGTAAATTATTATTATTAATTACATGCTTATATAATAAAGAGATGCCCATTGTTCTTTGAAATAAAGTTCAATCAGGAAGTAGCCAAAAAAAAAAAAATCAAAAAGACTTAACATAACATAGCACAATTTACAAGCTTTTCGGGGAGACATGAGCATACGTATCAGCGAATTAGCTAGACGAAGAGCCACAGGTGCTTACTGAAGTTTGAGTGAACCTCCAACATGTCTCATCAAAGTAAGCAGTAACTTTTACTGTGCCTTTCCCATCATATAGAAAGCTACTCACAAACTGTACAATCATTTGACGCAGGCCCAATGAATGCACCATATTTGTGCACTGTTAGTTAATATACTTTATATATTTATAGAGCTAAATTCAAAAACACAAAACATACCCAGTGCTTTCTGTCCACATCTTCATCTGCGTCCCACTTCCTTGTTAAAAAAGGCCTTTTTTGACTGATAATTTCTCCAGCAAAGAACGTTGTGAGAGTGGATACTCCTGGTGCACAGAGAAAACGAGAAAAGGAAAAAAAAGTGGACGCGTGAATGGCGGCTCAACCTTCCCAAGTGCATGCCTGCAAATTATATTTGTTTTAAAATGTGTAGAAGGGTACAGCTCTGTCAATCCATGCTGTGCAACATAAGGATGATATAGATTTCCAGAATGTCCTGTGACTTATATATTGTGCAGCAGGCTATGAACTATACATCAGCAGTTGACTTACTGCCCTGTGCATAGGTTTTTGCAGTAAGCAGATGCACTCAGACACACGCTTAAATAACAGAAATGTGAGCAAATATCTGATTGTACACTTGGCTTAATTTTCTCATAAACAACTTGCCAATTTAAATGGTTTGTTACTTCTACAGAGACACACCTTGCTTTCACTCCACTCTGTCACAGCCAAAAGTTCACTTCAGGATCCTGCTGGCCTCTTCCCTTCCACATATTGCGTAATGTAATGTATTGTATAGAGATGACACACTTAAGCTAAGAACTAGAGTCTAGACCTGAAAGAAGAGGATCAACCTAATGGCCTCACATTTGTCTTCCTCTAATCTTTGTCACAACCTGCATCGAGCAAGAGGAAACCAGTTTCCACTCGATTAAACGTGGAAACCAGTGTGTGCTTAGTCTTTGAACGTCAGTTTTATTACATCTGACCTAGTTTCTACTGCTTACCTCAGTAAGGCCTTTGATCTTCAGGTATCCACACAAATATGAGTCCTCCGCAGTCACATGCTGCCCAAGACAAAAAGATTAAGGATGACACATAATTATGTATGTCAGGTGGCTTGATATCACAGGCACAGGTACGTGTTCTCCTTCTTCTTTATGATGTAAAAGACTGTAGGAGGGGTGTTGTGAACTGAGACAAACCTTATAAAGTAGCAATGTAGGCAGGTATTATAGTTTCTGTTCGTATGTCTGCTGACAGTGCTTTCAAATGTCAACGCTAGTATAAGGTGATCAGATTTCTGAAATGAAATCGGGGACATTTTTTTGGTGGTCAGTATGTCATTAAAAAATGTAATGTTATTATATTAAATAAAAAAGGGAGACAATTTTGGTTTTATAATTTGTCAAATATAACTCTTCTGAAAATCATTTGAAGCAGAAACTACCTTTCAGTCAATAAGTAGAGGCTGCAGTCACTTCCTGGCAAGTAGAAAATTGCATTGCATTTTGTGTGTTGTTTTGGCTTTTACAAAGGTATTTAAGAGGTAAAATGTACTAGGTGAGTTATAATCTGTCAAATATAAATTCTGAATGAAATCAATTTTAATGAATTATTATTATTATAATTATACATTCCCTTTTCCAAATATAATCAAGGATAAGCATTCCGTTAAAAGAAACGTTAAAGTTTCACAAAGACATACTTTTGCTATTACCAAGGACATAAAGTGATGTTTATTTACACGTTATGTCTGTTTGACATGAGGTCAGCGTGTTACTATTACTGGAAACCATCAAAAACAAAATCTTAATGAGCTACGTCAGCTAAGTTAGCAGCTACAGCTACACATAGGCTGACTTTGCATATTAACAATAAACAAACTAATGGTAAAACCAAACATGTCAACAACACATTACCTGCAAAACAACTTCAACGTCGTAAGAGTTGCCTTTGCTCTTCTGATAACCACGAAACTGTGAGCCGCTGTACAGCAGCGACGTGGCCACCCCCGGCTGGTTGGTGTTGATCGGGGCAGGGGGAACAAGCGAGGCCGAGGATGGGCAGGCCGGGCCAGTGGCACTGCAGCACTCTGCTCGGACAGGCATGATGAGCGCAGATGTGTCACCGTCAGCAACCGTCATTAACTTTCTGACTGAGCAAACCACAGCTGGACAGAGAACTGATAACTTCCTGACAATGAGGAGGGTCTGCCAGCTGTACAAAACCCCCGTGATCCAAAAACTTTCCTCAATTTTTCAGGCTAGCCCACAGACTTGCCACTGAGGAGGGACACTGCAACGTCTCATTAGAGAATCCAGCTTCCCTGAATTTCATTGGCTGTGAACTGCTGCTCGGCTTGAGCAAGAGTCTTATTGGATAATATGCCCCAATGCACTTTGGGAGTTGTATTCTATTTAGTACTAAAATCAGAATCAACTTTATTGCAAAGTAACACTAACATACACACTATGAACAAAACAATATAGATATATTGACAAATAGTGCAGTGATCACAGTGCAAAGGATGCAAGAGTAAACTATTATTCTCATTATGTACATGTAGAAGGTGGGTATGATATACAGGTACACATACATGTACACAGTGTGATGGAACATAGTGCAAAGGATGCTGGAGAAAATAAAGACCTATGACCTTGTGACCTGAGGTAGGTATATTGGTATACAGTATATACAATATGACATATTATGAACAGCACTGAAATAGAGAATGGTGAATAAATAAATAATAAGTGGAAACCAGTAAACAGGTGCTGATTAGAGACAGAGTTACTGGGTTATTGCACAGGAATTGTTCCTGACACCGTGAGTCAGAAATCAGCTGTTCATCAGAGTGATGGCTTGTGGGAAGAAACTGCTTCTGAGTCTGTTGGTTTTGGCGTACAGTGCTCTGTAGCGCCTACCAGAGGGGAGTAGCTGGAACAGTTGTGTCCAGGGTGAGATGGAAACGCAGTGATGTTTCCTGCACGTTTCCTGACTCTGGAAATGTAGAAGTCCTGAATGGAGGGCAGGTTGGCACAGATGATTGTTTCTGCAGTCCTGACTGTCCGTTGTAGTCTGTCCCTGTCCTTTTTGGTGGCAGATCCAAACCAGACAGTGATGGAGGTGCAGAGAACAGACTGGATGATGGCTGTGTAGAAGTGGATCAGCAGCTCCTTTGGCAGGTTGAGCTTCCTGAGCTGACGCAGGAAGTACATCCTCTGCTGGGCCTTCTTGATAATGGTGTCAGTGTTGGGCTCCCACTTCAGGTCCTGGGATATAGTGGAACCCAGAAACCTGAAGGATTCCACAGCAGACAAAAGCCTGTTGAGTGTGGTGATGGGGGGCAGAGTGGATTGGCTCCTCCTGAAGTCCACGGTCATCTCCACAGTTTTGAGCGTGTTAAGCTCCAGGTTGTTCTGGCCGCATCAGAGAGCCAGCAGATCAACGTCCCGTCTGTAGGCCGACTCATCACTGGCCCGGATGAGGCCGATGACCGCTGTGTCGTCATCGAACTTCAGGAGTTTGACAGATGGGTCTCCTGAGGTGCAGTCGTTGGTGTAGAGGGAGAACAGCAGTGGGGAGAGCACACACCCCTGGGGGGCGCCAGTGCTGATAGTCCGGGATCTGGATGTGATGTTTCCCAGCCTCACCTGCTGACTCCTGTCAGTCAGGAAGTCTGTGATCCACTGACAGGTGGAGGCTGGCACAGTGAGCTGGGTGAGTTTGGTGCTGAGGATGTCCGGGATGATGGTGTTGAACGCCAAGCTGAAGTCCACGAACAGGATCCTTGCATATGTCCCTGGAGAGTCAGAATCAGAATCAGAATCAGAATCAGTTTTATTGCCAGGTATGTGTACACATACGAGGAATTTGACTCAGGATTGTACATTGCTCACGTTGTGCTTACAATAATACAATTACAATACAATAATACCATAACACAATAATAAAATAATAATAAAATAAAATCAGACACAAACTACAGAATAGACAACACTAATATACACACTATGAACAAAACAATATAGACATATTTACAAATAGTGCAGTGATCAGAGTGCAAAGGATGCAAGAGTAAACTATTCTCATTATGTACATGTTGAAGGTGGATATGATATACAGGAACACATACACATATATGCATACATGTACACATGTACACAGTGTGATGGAGCATAGTGCAAAGGATGCTGGAAAAAATAAATAAGACCTATGACCTTATGACCTGAGGTAGGTGTATTGGTATACAGTATATACAATATGATATAGTATGAAATAATAAGTGGTAACCAGTAAACAGGTGGCTGAGGTGTTGCAGGATGTGATGCAGCCTCAAAAACACTCCAGTCAGTGCAGTCAAAGCAGGCCTGTAACTCCAGCTTTGATTTGTTGGTCCATCTTTTCACAGACTTTACAACAGGTTTAGCAGATTCCAGTTTTTACCTGTGTGTCGGGATAAGATGAACCAGTTTATGAACTCCCTTTCACGGTCCGCGAGGATGAGCTTAAATCCCGGCAGGTGAAGTGCGCTGTCCGGGATGCGCTCGGTGAGCCAGGATTCGGTGAAACAGAGGGCAGCAGATCTGCAGAAGTCCGAGTTAGTTCTGTTGAGGAGAAGCAGTTTGTCCATTTTGTTGGCCAGAGAGCGAACATTCGCCAGGTGAATTGAAGGGAGCGCAGTGCGAAATCCCCCCTGTCTCAGCTTAAACAGCGCGCCGGCACGTTTTCCCCTGCGCCGTTTCCGAAGGATCCCAAACAGAGCTGCCGCTCCTCCAACTAGTAACTCCAATGTTTAAGAACTCTTCTCTGGTAAAAGTTACAAGAGAGGGACAATATATACTACATTTAACAGACCAAAACCAGGCCTAACATTTTATTCTTATAGCATATATATATATATAGCTATAGTAGCAATAGTATGTCAGTTTTGTGCTTTTTTAAGTATAATTATGTTACATATTTCTAAAAACAAAAAAGACACACAGTGGACACAATTGTCTTCATTGTCAGATGACTTGCATATATGTTTAATTTTATATTTTGATATCTGGACAGTAATTTGCTTATTTTATTGTTTCAGTTCTAAATGTGTTAATTAAAATATAGGTGCATACATTTGTTTGTAGTATATTTCTTGTATATATATATTTTTTTCTTTTCTGATTCTGGTCTACACTGTTGATTTCTGATGAAAAATATAATAGAGTACAATGCAGTAAGCAGTAGCTTATTCTTTTTTTTAGTTTAAGTTACTTTTTTGGACAACACAGTTTTCTTCTATAGGTTAGTGTCAGTATAGAAAATTACCCAGTGGGCCGCTGTCCATGCTTTATGGGCCGGTTGTTGGCTCATTTTAAAAAAACAGCTATATAAATACATAATTTAGGTTACACCATTACCACTCCAGCCTTGGTGTACACCACACATCTCATGCACTTGTATTTGGTTGGCTGGGGAACAAGTGACAACACTGAAACAGTATACTGACTGAAGTGTCCTTTTCTTCCTAAAAATAGGCCGTAAAAAATAACTGAACAGGTGGAATTATTTCTTAAATATTTTATTGCGTTATGTTTTATAACAAATACAGAAATGATAAAACAACAGTGAAATTGGCTACAGTTGTACATTCAGGTTGTGAAAATGTCCTGTTCCATTACATAAACAAATGTTTGTGGGGAAATGTTTTACTGCTGAAGCTACTGCAACTCCTCCAGCTGCTCCCTCAAATGGTCCACGTATCTGTGGATGTCTGAGATGCGCATGCGGTTCCGCTTAAGTTCTTTGTCGTGAATCTGTAATAACCCATGAAGACGAAAAGCAAACAATAACAAGACTGTGAGACACGGAGGAGAGGTTTGCTATCCGTATAAAAATATCAATTGGGGTGTTTGTTTTCATGTCATTTCAGCTCCCTACCCCTTTAATGAGGGCCACTTTCCAGGCATTGACACGTGTAACGAGCTGAGTCTCTCGGCCATTGATCTGCAGCAGGTGGTTATCGTGACCGGTGGTCAGTGCAGACATCACTGTGTCTCTGTCGGTAAACAGCTACACAGGGAAAACACAGGTGTGAAAGGCTGAGGTCACTCACACGGGTAATGAACAATGCCTTCGCCTCAGCATTCACATTAGACCACTATTATTCTGTTGTATCTACAATTATAAACATACTTCTTTACATATTGATGCTAAAATGAGTAATTGACTTTATTTTAAAGGTAATGAAATAACCCACATTCTACACAGTCCTCTTCAGTTATCTCTGAGATTAAACAGCAGAACCGAGAGAAACGTCCTGGCGACATTCTCATTAGGCTATAACTGTCCCAGTAACGTAATCCTAAAAGGGATGACACTCACCATTTTAATATCATCTGGCATGTCCTCCTCCAGGCTCTCCTTGGCTACTTTCTCCAGAGTGGCTTCAGCAATCGCACACACCTTCTCATGATACTTGTCCTCCAGATCTCGACATTGGGTAAATGTATGACCATGTCATGGAACATCTAAATTAAACAATCACTAATTTTGCACCCAAACACTTTGTGTGCCATTGTGTATGATTCAAACACTGACATTTAATTAAGGCTCAATTACTGAACGCACAATGCGAGGAACTGCAACTGGGACCCAGATTTTATATGTAGTATGAGCTGAGTGTCTCAATAGTGGGGACAAGAGCCCGAGAGCACTAATGAACCAGTGTCATTGGAAATTAATCCAATGAGAGAAGTGAGAAAGGATATATTCCTTGAACAGTTTCACTGAAGTTGCCGACCATGTCCGAGATTGTGATGTCAAACTTCTCGAGGATATCCTGAAATGAACAGGAGGTGAACATAATGAGTAAATCTGAAACAAAGGCACAGTAGAGAGGCATGCAGTTTTTGTGGGTATTAAGTAAATTATTGTATATTTATCTCGAGAATAATCTATATTTAACACAATTTCTATTATTGAGTCAATGACACACAATGTTTTTCTGAATAAACTTAAACCAGATTTGGAAATCATGTATTCACAGAGTACAGAAGGTGTACACATACAAGCACACGCACAGACACACCTACCTCCAGCAGGCTGACCAGCTGAAACTCCAGTGTCATGAGGCTGTTACAGAGTTGGTTGATTTCATCATTACAGTGGTTGATCTTGACCTTCAGTAGGTCTGGGTCTGATAACTGCTGCAACTCCATCATCCTCTAGAGCGGTGTGAATGCAAGACATATTAATAGTCTGCTGCAGTATACTAATACCAGGTTTACTGAGTTGACTATATAAGTTTGTATAACCGTTTTTCACCTTATTGTGTTGCTGCTCAAAATTTGCCAACGTTTGCAATGCTTTCTGCTGGTAGTCTGTCACAGCTTGAGTCTGACCTATGAAGAAGGAGTTCACCTCTGTCTCTCTTCGCTTATGTTCAGCCAAGCCCATTTCAAATAACTGCGTGCACAGCTCCACCGTTTGGTGCTCAAATGTAAGTGCAGGGTTAAGGAATTCATGTAATGATTTCCCCAGATTATATGTCATAATGAACACACCTGCATGGATAAGAAAGCCAAGACAACAAAGGATATGTTTGAAGCAAATGAGCCACCCCAGGAACCAGGTGTAATTTATCTGCCTCTGGATCATCTTTGAACATGCTCTTAAACAGACAAGGCCCATTCAGGAACTCCACAAAGGCATCCTGTAGGAAAGTAGAATTGAACTTAAGTATGTACACAAATGTCAAGAGCTCAGTGGAAATGAACTGCATCACCAAATGTGAACTTTATATTACTGTGTGTAATTTGAGTCCAGCTTTCTGGCTTTGCTCAGCTTGATCATCTTGTTGCATCTGCAGCTCCTCATGTCTCATCTCCTCAAGGACATAGTGGTATTTGATAGATGCTTCATTTTTCTGCACATAAACACATCATTTATTATTAACAAAGCAAATCAGAAACTTCCAAACAAAAGCTGGCAAAGTCATCAAATTATCTACAATAAAAATAGCTTAATGGAAGAATACCTTATACTTACTGTTTTCTGGTCAAGTAATCTGTAGTCCAGGCACATCAATGTCGGAAAGTATCCTGTGATGAAAATTTTGTAATCGTTTTCCTTAGACACAGGATTTCCAAATAGGTTGAGGGTGAACAGGTTCTTAAACTTCCTGAGATAGAGCACCTTTGAAATGGATTCATTTTTGCATTAGGTTATGTAAACATTCTGTAATGCTATATTCTGAAACATAGTAGCCTACTTGAAATACAAATGCAGTATGTTACTTATAAATGTATGACAGATTAATGCAAGCAAGTTACGTTGTCCAACTGTCCAAGGAGGTTGTTTGCAATGCAGAAATGAGTGAGTTTCTCAAGCCCGTCCATTTTTTCAATGACAGAGATTCTGTTGTTGGACAAATTCAGCACTTCAAGCTTCCGCAGAGACTCCAGACCCTCAATTTTCTCTATTCTGTTGAATGACAGATCTAAAGGATACATTCAGAATCATTAGCACTGCTAGTTATTGGGTGTTTTTATTTTATTTTGTCTATATATTTGCCAAAACTTGCACATTTATGACAAGAAAGTGTTGCAGGATATAAATATAAAGGCTTCATCTTACTAAGCCACTTCAGATTGCCCAGACGCTCCAGGCCCTCAATCTTCTCTATGAGATTGTTGTTCATATCAAGCCTGGCCAAGGACGTGAATTCCCATAAGTGGTCAATCATCAGGATATCTGCGAACAAACAACCTCTCACATACCTAAACCCAATATACATTCATACACTGATTATAAATCTTTTTATTTTTCTCACTTCTGTAGTCCAGACGAAGTTTAAGGATTTCATGAAAGTGGATTCCATCTGCCACAGCAAGGCGCCCACTCTGATCTTGAGTGACTTGCTCCTCTACTGCCTTCTGCAGAATCTCCTCATCCATCAAAATGGCCTTAACTTTACCACAATGATCGTCCATCCTGCTGTCAGTGGGCGTTGGAGGCACACTTTACTTTACTTTACCTGCTGCTCAAAGAAGAAAGTAGATTATTTTTTTTCATTTGGAGCTTGTTTTGTTCTGATAAAAATTATGAGAAGAAAAAAAAATGAAATGAATGATGGTGTAGCTAACGTTAGGTTTCCATCCTTCATTAGCTTGCTAAAACGAATGAATGAATGGGCCTACCAGACAAACATTATACAAAATTAAGTACCTACCAACGACAATCGCAAAATTTAGCTAGTTGTTGTTTTCCCAATGCAAAATACTTAAACAAACAAACAATATAAGCAGTTTAGTAGTAAGTAAGCAAGTTCTTACCTAACCTCTTACCTCTGTTGTTTACATTCTGTTACCTAGCAACTAGCAACCCTTAAGCTGCGTTCAAGCTCGTTCAAATGATTCTGTTAAAATAAATGTTAAACTTCAAATTTTACTTGCTTGACCTACAAAAATCAATAAACCGTTAGGTATGATGACATTAAAATTTCGCGCACAGTTGTTTTATTTTGGCTACAAAAAATATTTTCAAAAGTCCAATGTTCTATATTCAGTTCATTTTATATCGTTGTTTGTCTATTTCCGTGCATGTATCAAGTAAACTACATGTATATACATATGGTTTAAATTGTATAAATATGTTTGTTGAACATAGCTTCATTTGCTAAATATGACCGACATTGATTCCAGCCATACGTCGTGAAGGTTCTGGTTTTTTGCACCAATAGTATTAATCTGTGGGCGGGACTTGGTGGTACCGCCTCTGGGCCACAGCCTCAGTCATTCCCGAGCGGATTGTTTGTTGTCAAAATGGAGTTCTTACTTGGCAATCCGTACAGCACTCCTGTGGGCCAATGTATAGGTACGTTAGCCTTAAAAATTATTCATCAGAGATGTGATACTTCCTCCACAATACATAATTTGAGCATGGACAAGCATTTTGATGTTTTCCGCCAGGGTTTACTGAGGTCGCGCCAGTGGAAATAGCCAGCTAGCAAGCATCATCGCAACAAACGTCATCTGTTAACGTTACTTGCAGTGAGCTTTCAGCTAATGTTAGCCAGCTAACCTTCCTAACTTAGTCCGCTGTAATTACTTGTACATAATACGTCAAATCACTGCATTTGTGTAGACAAGACACATACAGTTTTCAAGAAAGGAAGTTAAATGAGAGGGAATGCTATGGGCCGTGTCCATAGCCAAGCTGAAGTTCAGTATTTCCTTAGTTTTCATGAACAATAGTTGGTCAGCCTAGCTGGTTTTAGATTTAAATCTCAAGCATCTATTCTCTGGTGCTTATTTGTCCTGCAGAGGAGAAGGGAGACGTGGCCTATTACCACATCCCTTTTGTGTGGTTGCATCTTTCTTTGCGTCTTGCCCGGTTGTTTGCAAACATGCTCAGAGATGAAAAACCTCTAACCCAACCAAGGCTTTGCTGTGCCTTTCTCATGAGAGAATAACACACATGATAAGAATAGATTTTCTGTAAGATCTGTTACTTGAAATGCTTTTGTTTATTAAGATCATGTAAAAGTGTAGTCGGGGTGCAACAATGTAAAGTCCCCCATTTGTGATTGTCTGCATATCACCCACCCAAGCTGTAACAGTAACACCATTACTGTTCTGTTCCTTTTAATAGAGAGACCACCTTCTTTGATTCTGCTAGCTAATAATCTCCTACCTTGACATGACTAATATCATTTTCCCTTTTTATTTATAAACAGTTTATAATTCATTTTGAATGCAAGTGTTTACAAAGTTGTGTAAACAATCCTAAAGATTTTAAGCAGCATTTCCTGTTTGTTTGAGTTAAGCCCCTGCCAAACAGATGCAGGCCAAACATTAATTTCTCACAATTTTGTGTTTACCTTTAGGCCTAAGTAAATGAAGCAGCTGTCACAGAAGCATTTGTTGATTACATATGTCTGTGAGTAAAGTACACTAAGCTGGTATTTTTAAAATAAGCACCTGCCTGTGTATACAATCTATGGTGTAGCTCTCATACTTTTTAACTACTTTGAAAGTAGATAACCCCACAGTGCTTAATCAAGCTCCTCATTGCGCTGGGTAGAAATATACTGGAGGAAAGACATCTATAGGAGTTAGGGGGCTTTTGAATTGTCCTCTGGCCAGAGTGAATGTTTCCCACCACCCACTGGTCAACTGCTATGTGCCGTGTCATCCAAGACTACCCTCAGACACTAACTGTGAGCATCCTCTCAAGCATTTTACGTTACATTGGTCCTTCTAGTTTATGCATCTTGGCACATCTTGGATTTTCCAATTTCACAGAGATGGCTGCGTCTTCTGCCTGGTTTCTCTGTTGTGAGTGACTGCACTGTGCAGAGTTGTACAGCCGGCTGTCAGTTTGGCTGCTGCAGTGTTACAGTACTCCACAGCAGCCAGGCGAAGGATCAGCTTACCTGAACCAATGAGAGAGAGAGAGATATATCGACAGAGGAGACAGATAACATCTGTTGAGGGACCCATTGTGAAGAACTTCAAGGAGCTTTTTCATTTCCAAAGTGACTGTGAGGTGGTGAATGATGTGTGCAGGTGTTTACTATGTGTGCATTTCCTTTTGTTGTCATTTTTCATGAGGTGAAATTCAAGCCTTGGTTCTTTTGTATGTTTTGTTTCTTTCTGTTCTTCATACTGTAGCTTCATGGTCAAGGCATGTTGCCTGCTTTTCCTCTTTTTTCTAAAAGTGAACATATTGGTGAGAGGCTATCAGTACAGTTAGCTGAAGCAACCAATACAATTGCACCAATGATAAATGTGGAAAATACATTAAAGGGATTAAATTGGATCCCTTTAGTGTATGTTCCCTTTGTAGGTAGGCCTATATGTCAGTTTGCCATGCCATCTTTTTTATATAACTCTAGTATCCGCTGACTTATCTTTTGCAGAATTTCTTCCGTTATTTGACCAGACAGCAGTCCTCTGAATGCTGTGCTAAAGAGTCCTGTACATTACCAGAATTTGCTGGAATTTCTGCTGTTGCTATCCAGAAGAGTAAGCAAATAGAATAAAGACAAAAGATAAGGAAAAGTAGAAAATGTGTGGTGAAAGGACGAGTCTTAAAACGTGGAGAGATGGCGCCGGCGAGGGCCAGAGATGTTTGGCTTTGTTGGCAGTGCGTGGCACAGCCTGCCGCCGTTAAAGCCATGTGATGGACTGCCTTCACTGGTGTGGTGTCGATTTCCCAGGACATGGGGGGGGATTGACACAACACCATGAATGAATGCACTCAGCAGGCATTTAACTTGATTAGCAAGGCTCTAAATGTCCAGTGTCATTGTAGGTCATTTCACATTGAGAGATCAGATTTTCTTTTCTCTTTTCTTTCCTCCTCTGCAACCTGTGCTCTGCCCAGCGTTGACCTGAAAATCCACTTGAAGAGATTACATGGGATGTCCCAGCAGAAGTAGCTGGTTAAGTCTTGAATGGTCTTTGGTTGGTCTAAGTCTTTGGTTAAGTCCAAATGAATGCTTCATATGCTGTGCAGCCTAACACAGAGCCACAGAGCAGTGTTTTTAAATGCTGCTCATGTTGAAATTCACTTTATGTCTCTGTTGTGTGTAGATAAGTGTGTTTAAGATGCCTGTCTCTCACTGCTTGCCCAGTCTCTGACAACTAAGTTTAGGGGAGGGAGAGCATGAATAAGTCATGGCTGTCAGGCTTGTCCAACACTGAGTTTCCCAAAAGGAAGGTAACACGGCCCAGTGAGAGGCTCATGGCCTGGGCATGACAGCCTGCTCAGGTCCTCTGCGCTTCAGGGAGAGAAGCTCCTCCTGTCCAAGCTCGAGAACCGTCTAATGAGAATCTATTGAGTGTCAGTCACAGCTCACTTCAGTAGTTTAAAAACTTTTTTTTTGTTTCACTGTGAATCTTGCCCCAAATGACTATGATGCTGAAAGATATCAGCATCCACAGATGTGATGGATGGATTCTGGGGGGGACGGGAGAGGAAGGACGAGGCGGAGAGAGGTATGCGGTGATGACTGCAAAGACAGTTCATCACTGTAGCGTCTCACAGTTTGGATCACATAATTTCCTGGCTGTAGGCGAAACTCTATTAAATGGTAGGGTGGAGTGTGAAGGGGAAAGCAGGTCTCAGCTCAGAGTCTACAGCTGCATCACACCCACCACCAGCTTCACTTTCCTCTGAGATGTTCGCTTTTGTCTTTCCAGCTGATTGTTTTAGTTAATTTAGCAGAGTGGGAGGGAGGCATCGGAGCAACAGGTGGTGGATCATATTTTCTAGCATGTGAGAGGTTTTTGTGCATGTGTGATAACAATGTTGCCAAAACTAATAGGACTGAAGAAGTTTATTTGAATAGCACATTTCAACAACAAGGTAATTCAAAGTGCTTTACATAAAACATAAAAGCAACAGGGAAATATAAAAAAGTTTAAAAGCAACATAGGGAAATTGAAATTGAATTAAAAAATAATAAAAGTTACAGTGCAGTGTACAATCAGGGTTCAAAGAGTTAAATGGAAAATAAAAACAGGCTGAGGGGTTGAGCAAATAATTGAGTTACAATTATTTTGAAAAGAGAATAAACAGAGAAGTACACTTAATCTACTCTCTCTAGCTAGCCTGTACTCGGGTACATAGCAATCTTTGGGTCCACTGAAACTCCAAAAACCCTCGGACACTACAGAGAAACCAGGACATGTCTGTTCGCAGGCCGCTTGAATCCAGTTATACTCTGGACCCACTTGCGCGTTTACAGGTGGACAGTAGTCTGATCTTTCTCCTGATCCTAGACCCAAGACTTCATCCCAACCCTTCTAAAAGATTAGTTTCCTGTTTGGCTGTCAATGGAATTTGCTTGGACGGACTGTCCTCCTGAATTTATAATTGCAATAACAAACAGCTGGAGTTGATTTTTCTATAGCTGTTTTAATATCTTATTATTCAGGTTATCATTTTACAAATTTTTACTGTAATTTTGTGAAGTTGTTCTTGACAAAAAAATAGTTAAGAAAAAAAAGGCCCTGTTTGTTAGAGAGTAATGGGATCCTACATGAACACAGTATTAGTAACAATATATGTATATGTATTATATATGTATATAATATATAATACATATTTTTTTTATGTTTCTCACACTAGTTAGAAGTGGGCGGGGCTCCAATGATGTCATGTACTTCCATGCACCAGTCAGGATTCAGCATGATCTGGTGGTCGCTGTCAATCAAATCTGATCAAACCACACCCACACAGTCATAATGGGGCAGTTTTTGTGTGTTAAACCCCGAATAAATAATTGAAAAAAATATAATAATAATAGAAAAAATTTACTTCAATCTTTGCTTATTTATTTCAAAATATATAGTATTATATTTTTTCAAGTTTTCAAGGGTTTTAAAGTGTGGATTCATACATCAACTTAGTGAATAAGGTTTTGGCTCATGATTTGTTTTCCATTTGTTATATTACTTGTACACACAAAATACTTGGCTGATGAAGAAGAGACGTTTGAGAGACACAGAGGACTGAAGTGTGTCACCACATGCTGATTGGCTTACGTAACTTTTTACTTTCAATGTTATGTAAACCAATGGTTGCTTTAATTAGTGTGCAACGACTTTAGTGCAGGCGACACCCCGAGCCTGACTAACATCCAGCATCATGCTTACTAGTGAGACAGCTGGCAGGGTGCAATTAGTGGATCAGGCATCAAAACTAAAATTTACTTCAATGCCAGCCAGGGGTGTGCTACATCGTATAATTCACAGTAGTACCAGTATAATTTTTATTATGAGCTCAACAGCTATTGTGAGTTAAAAATACTCTAGTGCCAGCCACCCTCAGATTTGGGTTGTGGTGTTTATACAGATTATGGGTGTAGCCAAGACTTAGTATTCAGATAAAACTAAACTCTCTGTATTGTATATTTCTCTCCACGGTATTGTGAATAAAGTTGGGTCTGTGCACATATTGCTGTAAATTAAATAGAAACCGATGCGACACGACTACACTACACTGAAGACTAAGGATGGGCTCAGGGCTCAACACTTACATTTATTTTTAGGTGCTCAGACAGAATTTAAGGGGAAACAACATTATATGAGTATGAATATTCTGTTGAACTTTGTTTTTTCCTCCAGAGAGGGCCACAGATGGAGGCCTACAGAATGAGGACTGGACCCTCAACATGGAGATCTGCGATATCATAAATGAGACAGACGAGGGGTGAGTTGCTACACCTTCTGGGAGTTAATCATGGGTTATAATATGCTTTATCAGCGTTCTGCAGGATTAGTCAGTACCAATACTTAATGGACGTTTCATTGTTTTGTCACACACTGGCTGACTGAGTGACTCCAACAAATAATACACTTGACTGCTGCGCTTCACCAACAGACACCACACTACAGACGGCCTTTTGTTTTCTTTAGGTGCCACTGGCTGAATGAATGAACGAATGAATGAAATTCTTATGTCAGTCTACTACGTTAAAAGATGCCCAGCCAACTGTGTTTATAAGACACAATGTAGATTCTGATGAGACTTGAATTTCCATTTATTTTACACTTTGTAAGGTTCTTCTCGACACCACTGAATTCACTTGTAATTAGGCTTCCTAGAAAAAAAAGTTTTTAGTTTTCTGAGAGTTAGGCACATTCATCATTAAATCGGCTTACATAAATGTAATGGGATCCCAGCCAGTATCTCCTTTTTATGAAAAAGAGTGTTTTTCGGGAAGAAAATTGGAATCTGTCTTTTTCCATTTTTTCCGTCAGCACTTTCCTTTTTTTCTCTTTTCCGCTGCCTTTTCACATTCTTCATGCCTACGCACACTCATTGTCTTGACATGCGACATGGGGCCCTCTATGTCACACTCAAAGACACACACACACAGAGGGAGTTCTGCTTCGCAAAACACAGAACGTCTTGTCTGCAAGATGTTCAGAAAATTAAACAATATCTGTTTAGACTTGAGGTTCAGGAAATTCAGCAACTGATAATGTTGCCTTGCAAGACTGTGCTTTCAAGTAGTACGGAAACAATATTTGACAAAACAGATGCTCCATCAAAAACCAACAAAATGCAGCTGTAACACTCAGAAACACACTTAACACACACATGCTGTCGGAGGAAGCATTATATCAGATTTCGCACTCCATCTCCCTCCATTTCTATCTATATCAGAACATAATAAATCTACCGTATCTCATGAAGGAGTTCATAAAAGCTTATGATGCCTCATCTGCAGTGGAGAGACGGGCAGTGTGAGGCAGAAAGCCAAACCTAAACTCTTCATGCATGGACAGCTTTGATCTTGCCTTGGGAGAAACAGAGAGTCACGCAGAGAGAAAATAGAGAGAGAGACAGATGGTGCGACGGTTCTTCTTTGTCTTAGTCAAACAGTTACACTGACAGACTGACTGGCATCTGTTAATGTGGCACAGAAAACCATTTGTTCCAACAAAGTCAAAGATGTTATGCCTACTCTCAGCTGGGGTGCTTCATCCAGCTGTGTTTTCTCTGACGTTTCGCTGCAGGCCAAAAGACGCGATGCGGGCACTGAAGAAGAGACTCAGTGGTAACAAGAACTACAGAGAAGTGATGCTGGCGCTGACGGTGAGAAGTCCTTACTTTTTTTTAAATCATATAAAAATGGCACATATTTTGTGCTGATTTTATTCTCAGGAAGCCGTGTCCAAGCCTCCTTTCAATGTGTAAGCCACATTAAAGGATTGCACGCTGCGTAAAAGTTGACCTCTCCAGATTTTGTGTTCTTTCTTGGTCACTTTCTTCCGTTGTGTCTCTTCTCCCGGCCACTGTCGGGGCTGGTTTTAGCAATGCCTTGTGTTCTATGTTCACCCATTTGACAGCTCTGCTGGTTAAAAGCCCCTCTGCGTGATGAAAGCATCCTGACTGAGATCTTGTATGAACACCAGAGAGCAAAGTCCTTCCTTTTCTCAGCTGCCTCAAACACAAGAACTTTCCTGCTCTCCAGTTTGTTTTTATATTTTTAAATATTACAGGCTTACACCTTTGTTTAAATCTGTCTTCCTCTCTGCAGGTATTGGAGACATGTGTGAAGAACTGTGGTCACAGGTTTCATGTCCAGGTGGCCAACAGAGATTTTATCGACGGTGTGTTGGTCAAAGTCATCTCCCCTAAATCCAATCCTCCGACCATCGTACAAGACAAAGTGCTGTCACTCATACAGGTATTGGTGCGTTCTCTGTTAGTGCTGTTTCTGTTCCTGTTCACAAATAAGCCACACTTCCATTGCGAAATTGTGTGATATGTGTACTATTTTATGTTTATTGTGTGTGTGTGTGTGTGTAGGCATGGGCTGATGCCTTCAGGAGTAGCCCTGATCTAACTGGTGTGGTCCACATTTATGAGGAACTGAAGAGGAAAGGGATTGAGTTCCCAATGGCAGACCTGGACGCACTGTCTCCCATTCACACACCACAGAGGGTGAAAATAAAGACACGCACATACAGTACAAACACATGTGGATGTTCACACAGCAATTTTCCTAAGGTGTTTTTTGTTTCCTCCAGGGTACACCAGAGGTGGACCCGGCCATGATGAAGTACCTAGCCCCCGCATCACCTGCTGTCGGGACTCCTGCACCTTCCCCGACCCCCGACCCTGCCACACAGGTCCCCAACATGCCCAGCCCTATCAAAGCAACCCCTGAACAGGTGAGAGGCATCAACAGCTACCTTTGACTGAACTTTTTGCTGCACCTGTTGCATGTAAAGTGAACTCAGCTTAATTTATCAATACAAACAATTTCCTCCCTTAGACTGTCAATAAAGCTTTTTTATTAAAATAAAGCAGATTTTACTGACATATCATAACTATCTCCTGCTGTCAAGAACATCCGCAGCACTGCCGATTCCAAATAAGCCCTGAATGTTTTTTAATAACCTTTTGACCTTGTGTGCTTTCAGATCGCCCGGCTGCGTAGTGAGCTGGACATAGTGAGAGGAAACACCAAAGTCATGTCAGAGATGCTGACAGAGATGGTCCCTGGCCAGGAAGATGCCTCTGACCTAGAACTGCTTCAGGTTAGAGGCACATGAATATACTGTGAGGTGTATCTTAACCAAACACATACAGCATCACAACGTATTGCTCATGTTGTGCCAATTTTACTTGATGCGTTTTTAATATTTAATGAGTTTTAAAGTTGCAAAGGCAAAATAATCAAATCACAAGATGATTTGGAGCAAGCAAATCAGATTTTTGTTTTCTTTTTGTTCTTTATATGAAAGGGTTTGTCAATAGATCCCTACTCAACAAAACACTGTGAATATAGGCTCATGCTAAATATTTCACTAAATTAATTTCCATGTACTTAAATTCAGACAGTAAGAAGCTTTCCAACATGGCACGTCAGCTGTAAAGTGTTGGAATTATGTGCAGCCACCGGGGGGAGTAGTGTCTTTAGTTTTCAGAGGAGATGATCAACTCGCCTGCAACTTATCAGGAGCCAGTTGGCTGTGGTGGAAATTCCTGGAATTGGCAATTGACCAGAGATATAGAAACTCATGCAGAGTTTAATCTACGCGGGCCAAATCCACTCAGGTATTTTTGTCAGCTGCAAGGATATGGCCCCGAGCTAAGGTGCCTGTGCCAGTTGTAATGGTTATGTGGTGCCTTTTCTTTTTTCTTTCTTTCATTCACAGAATGTTTACACAGTTAAGCAAATATTTCTGACTTGCTTAACATTAAATGTCTTGTAAGAAAATATACATACAGTTTATGTTCCAAAGTTTAGACAATATCCAGCATTGTATGTGTCTGACAAAATTATTTGTTAATACAGGGTCGAGTCATTAGTAGATATACACTTTGTTTGTGTGCGTGTCTGTCCTTCCCTCTATAGCTAGCTCTTTCCCCATCTCCATTTGTTTCTGTTTCTTTCCATTAATTTATCAACAAATTTATTGATCCGTCTGTTGATCTACCAAGGAGCTGAACAGAACATGCAGGGCCATGCAGCAGAGAGTGGTTGAGCTGATTTCACGCATCTCTAACGAGGAAGTGACTGAGGAGCTGCTACATGTCAATGATGACCTCAACAACATTTTCCTCCGATATGAGAGGTACGATCCAATACGACTTGACTTGAACAATTAATCGTTTTCAAATCGAAATTGCAATTTGAAAGAACGCGATTAGCTAATCGTGAAGACGGCGATTAAAATGTAGGTTAATTATACGGCGCATCTGACCAGTTTTAAACAGTCATGCAGTTACAAATTCATTCCGTTGTCATCCTTGTGTGACAGACCTGCTCACCAATCACAAGCGCGCCACGCGCCTCCTGTTACAGTCCTACTCACCAATCAGAGCGGACCAAACCATCAGTTAGACTTTGTACAAGGACTGTCATGCCATGATTGTCAGAAAAATCCACATGAAAGTTAAAAAGATCTTTGATGTCAGTACAATTTTTGCCTATCCAACAGCTAAAACGGATGACTTTGGTCCACTGTGTTTGATGGGATAAGTAATTGGTACTTGTTAGAACATTTTGGTTTGCCAAACTATATCTCAGTCTATGATTTTAAAGATGAGGCTCCAGATGTGATTATACCCAAGCTTATCAATGAAAAATCCAATTTTTTGAGAAAGCACACTTGTGTGTGCCAGTTTGAGTTCAAACACCACAAAACTACTGATCTTGTATGAAGAACTGTGCAAAACTCCTTCCTGTTAGACATTCTGCGGCTTCAAACTGGTAAAATGTCTCTTTCATGATGTGTCTGAAGATGAAACGCGTGTAAGCATCTGAACCTCACAAAGCTTGTGGTGAAACATTCAAAGGTTTTTGTGCTGCTCGTAGGTACGAGAGGTACAGGTCGGGTAGAGCCGCGCAGAACAACGGGGTGAGTACCATCAACAGAAACTCTGCGTTTTAAGAGCAGAAATCAAACTCCCAAAATTCTCTTTTAAGATCACTTGTTTTCTCTTTGCTTTCAGCAAAAAAAAAAATCCATTTCAATACATCTGCATTTGTGTGTCCTGTGGCAATTTGTCTAACGTTAAGGATGCTATGAGAGATGTTTCAAACATGTATTTGTTGTGCTTATTTTACCTTTTGAAATGACTGAAGTGTCTGAATTAATAATGACTCTTTCCTGCATGTTATAACAGTATACACAGTCCACTGCAGCATTCATTTGTAAGGCAGTTTTAGCTCTATTAAAACTGGGAGAGCAAAGCAGAACATGTTCCAATTTGCTTTTACATTTGCCAGTATCAGTGATTCGCCAGGGGATCGGGGCATCTCTCACTACATCCCACGTAGCTGTTTGTTTTTTGCATTCTGTTGATTCTGTGTATTCTGTATGTTTGTGTTGTGGCTAGCTGATGGAGGCAAGTATGACACTGCTACCCTGTTCAGTCCTAGCCTGTGTGCTGGGATGAACAGTGATGAATGTTAACACTTCTGCTATAGGGAGCTAATGCTTAGACCCATACGACATGTCAGCATCAGTACTGCTGTGTGAAACTACTGTAGATACTATATGTCCTGCCATCCCCTCTGTTCTTGCCTTCTGTCTCACACATCTGAAGTCTTGTGCAACTGTTTATTCAGCCCAGAGTATATAGTATTATAGAACACCCTCCAGTCCACAACTCCTGACCCACACTGTTGTTTCAAATTGTGTAAATAGTCAATCCTCTAGAATTTCACTAGCTATAAGTATTATCTCTGTACACAAAGAGCAAACACTCAAACGTCCCTTTATCCATACTTGGTGAACTCTCTTATTCTACCCGCCATCCCCTCTTCAGATGTTGAATGAGGCCACAGAGGACAACCTGATAGACCTGGGCCCAGGCTCCCCTGCCGTGGTCACGCCCAGGATCACCTCCAGCCCTCCACCCCATTCCGCTGCCGGGGCCGCCGCCTCCCCAGCCCATAAACCCACTACAGCCTCGCTGTCCTTTGCACTAGCTGGTCTTGGTAAGAATAAATTGGTATCAAGTTTGTTTTCCATTGTAAAGGGAAAAATGGATTCACCTGCACACAGTTCTTACTCCTAAATTGCTACTATAGTACACATATACACTCACTCTTACCAGAGCTGTAACATCCCTCTTCCCCAGACTCTGCAGTGTTAAAAAAGGCTCATAATCTTGCTTCAAATGGGAAATAAGCCCAGCAACATCAGTCATTGCTAGACTCTCTTCCCTACCGCTGCTGGCTTCCTTGTTGGTCTCTAGAAAGTCTCTGCATACTTTAGTATTCAGGTCAAAGCTTGGATATAATGCTGTTCTCGTTGAGCTTGATGGAGAGGCAGCTGCACAGTGCTAAATAGTAGTGCTAAGTGCTAAATCTTCATTTCATTTTCCATTTATCCGTGTATTTTTAAATCTTTCTTTATAATCCTCCTCCTCTGCTTTCTCCGTCTTCCTTGCTCTTCCCTTTCCTCTCTTGCTGTTCCCCTCCAGATGTTGCTGCGGACAGCGTGAGCAGTACACTGCCCTCTGTACCAAACCAGGATGACTTTGACATGTTTGCCCAGACCAGGAGCAGCTCTCTGGCTGAACAACGAAAAAAGTAGGTCAAGATTTCTAGTTTTTACTTCTGGGGCAGCCCAGATTCTCTCATGGTCATTTATTTTAATTAAATAGCTATTCATAACCACTGATGGACACCAGTTTGTCCCATAATGTTCACTGCATACAGGTTTAATAAAGGTTTTTTTTTTTGATTTTGAAATTGGTGCTTTTACCTGCTTCTCCAGTACTGTGGATTTGTTCCTATTCTTGACAAATGTGTGTGAAAATTGCAAACTTGTGTGGGTATATTAGCGTGTCTGGTGGCTTGGGGGTCTGCACTACATAACAGCAACATCCCTTGTTTAAATCCAGCCTTTGTCACGTTTATTTATTCCCTTCTGTCATTGACATTTTACCATGAACAAAAAATATAATATAATTATAATAATAAAATGGGTGAGAAATGCTGGGTATTGTTGCTGTCTTTTTTTGCAGTGTTGAAGAAGAATACTTTCAGGGAGGATTTTTCCTTAATTTGTCACGTTTTTCATTTTGTTTTTGTTTGTGTTTTTAATTTGTCATTCTGCTGCTTCAGTGTTATATCTTAACTAAGTTGTTTATGTTTTCATGCACAGTGTAAAGTATGAGGACCCCCAGGCTCTAGGCGGCCTGGCCTCGGCTTTGGATGTGAGACAGCAGAACGCAGGAGGGGTGAGTACGCTGATGCATGCCATTTAATGCAGCTTTTACCCATGTTTGGAGTGTGGGTGCTGTGTAATTTACATGGCTGAAAAAGCCTTCCCATACCAGTCCGCCCTCAGCCCTTGGTCATTCCCTGCATGTGATGGTCTGTAAAACTGTATTTTCTGCAGTGACATTTGTCCTGTGTGCAGTGCAATAGCACAACGAGTACGGTCTTGACCTGCTCTATATGAAAGCGCTATGAGATAACTGTTGTTGTGAATTGCCGCTATATAAATAAAATTGAATTGAATTGATACTCGAACTTTGATCAAACAAAAAGGCGTAGGTTTGTGTACTGACTATTGCTATAACTGATTAGCTAAAATAAATATCTTACAATGTGGTAACTGCGAGTGTTAAGTGTGCCTATAAGTAAGAATTCAAAATGGTGTGATTTTGTTGCCTTTGTTCCTGGTAAATATTAGTTCTAGCAGTTCTTTAAAAAAAATATGGATTCGGATTTCTCATTCTTCATATCAGTTATCAGTACATTTCTTTCTTTCTTCAGTTTCTGTTTATTTAAATAAAACACCATGCAATCAGTTTGTGAAGTCACATGCAAGTTTCAAGATTTTCGTAGTGGTTTTCAGAGCACACCGTCAGATGTATTTGCATGGTTATGTTACTTTGCATTGTAACTATGTACACAGATGATTCTGAAACCTGAACTGCCATGATACACAAATGCAGACGCACACATGCACACACACAGCAGTGATTGCGCATACCATCCCTTTTTTTTAGTTTACTACCCTTTGCCTCGTACAGCATTTTTACTTGAGGGAGCTTTTTATTTTCCTCATTGTCATCTTTATGGAATGAGCCTTTCACCATTTTCTTACCTTCTCCCCTCTTTTCTCCCACACTTTAAATGGCACTCCCTTTAAATTTGACTTCTCCTCTGTCTCTCTCTCTGCACTGTGTGCTATGCTGTGGTGGGGCCTGCTACCTTTCTTCTCTTGTGTAAGGTGTTGTTCTGTTGTTGATTCAGCTGAGGGTAAAAGGGGATGATAACCCAGCAGATCAGGAGCTGCCCATAGACAGCTGGCTTATTACCCAAGGAATGGTGAGGACTCCATCCTCAATGTGTCCTCCTACCCCTCCCTCATGTCCACCGTCACCCCCTGCTCTCAGCCTCCTGTGGCATCATGCATAATGAGCTGCTCTTCATTTTCATCCTCATCTCACTGCTCTGTCCTGGAATGCACAAACAAACGCCTTATCAAGTTTCCCCTCCCCAAACAACGTCCATCTCCATGTCAGAAGTACAGATGTTGTTCTGGGCAATATGACGATACCTACGTTAGCTATACTGATTCTGCTGAGTTATCTGTTTTAGTGGTTGTTATAGTCCATTGCAGGAGATGTTGCAAATCAATTAACAGGATTGTTTTATGGCAATACTGATTTTACAGGAGTTTTGCATGATGAAGTATGATTTGATTTAATTTACACGATTAACCAAAAACAGACATTGTTTTGATATTTTTTATATAAATTGAATTCCCAGAAAACAAAATGTATTATTGCAGTGTTATTAAACTTTTAAGATTTTATCAATATTGCCCACCTCTACTGTACTCTATTGACATGGGTGCTAAACACTATACCCATAACTGATGCTTTCTACTTTAATGTCACCCCTTTATGGATGGGACAATGAGCCTGACTGCTCACAGGAACTTCCATCAGCTCCATTCATCTCTTTAACAGTCAAACACTAAAACAGCAAAGATGTACAGATACTTCTGCTACACAGCAATGGCAAATCAACAATGAAGAACATTGTTAAAGTAACAATAACATATCATTCCAGCATAAAATAATTAGCAAATGGATGGTGGTTTGCTGTGTAGTGGAGAGTATGTGTCAGCTGTTCTCTAACTGTCTTTGGATCTTAGATAATACACTAGATGTACTTAACAACAAACTCACACTCTAACCAGAAATAAATCAACCAACTAACAGATGAGTCAGAAGTTGTAATATTTGTTTTATTAACAGTGTGACAATAATGTTGGTAATATATAAAAGCTGTGAGTCATGATAGGGACAGACACTTTTTTCCTGAAACATTTTCTCCCCAGTTCACACAGCTGCATGTGTTTTTTTTTCTCCTGTGAATGACTCTCACTGCCCCACTGCCATGGCCTTTATTTTGAAATGCTCCCTCACTGTGATCTCAAGAGGAAACCCCACCACCAGTGTTTATATAGTATATAACAGGGCCTCAGGAAAAGGTTTTTGGTTTCAACTTATCAGGTTGACGTGAAAGGATGTAGAAGATGAGACTTTTATGTATTGTGTTTGAAGTCAATGCCTTTTCGGCTTCTGTAAACAAAAAGCATACAAATAACTTTTTTCAGTTGGCCTAATTGTTACTTCTCGTGGATGGACATTAAAGGTTCCTTTATCAGTGACATCTAATGCCACAATTTCCGAGCGGTCCTGAATCACTGTGATTGTTTGGTTTCTCCAGAAAAATGAACACAAGCGTACACCATCCACCCTGACATGGCTCCCATCATCACGTTCACGTGTGCAGCGTGCGTGTGTGTGCGCGTGCTTCCCGTATATGTGTATATGCCCTGCCTCTCGACAGTCCCCGTGCTTTCAGCTTCTCCCATCCAATCAATCTCTTAATCAAGTTCAAGTGATTTGCTAATTATCTAATGATGTGGAATAATTAACACTGCTGTGTGACATTAGTCGGCAGCTGTTAAGCCATGTCAGCACTACAGAAGTAATGAGAACAATACACAACCTGGGAACTCTTGTTCTCATAGAAGACAGCTGAGTAGCAGATCGTTGCACATGATCAAACAATAAGAGCACTGACTTGAGAGGGGCAGATTTTCTTTGTGTTCTCATTTTGATTTGTTTAATTTTATCATCTTCCTTTCTGAGCCTTTTGGTGATTCCTATTCTTGTTATTTTTATGTTTGTTTGTGTGTGTTGTGTGTGTGTGTGTGTGTGTGTGTGTGTGTGTTACAATTTTTGTTTTTTGTTGTTGGGGTCTTTCTGTTGCGTGGCTTTGGTGCTACCCCTTGGTTTGTCCATGGCTTTGCTCCATAGATCCCCGTATCGCAGTCCTCTGTCATGGATGACATAGAGGAGTGGCTCTGTGCTGACGTGGTGAGACTTCTTTTCCTTGATTTATCTCTTTTTCTCTTCTTTCTCTCTCTCGTCTACCCTCGGTTTTGTTCGTTTTTTCTTCGATAACTCATTTCATCCAACCATCTCACATGACTGCATACATTTGACTTTAGTTTCCTTTCACGTCACATCTTTTCGTTCACTGTCATTTTCCCGCTGATGACTGACGTATAACAGTTTACTGTGTAGCTTGATTCACAAAATGCTAACATAGTGCTGAAGATCGCCATGTTTAAACAGCTGATAGGAGCTTCCTTAACATATGCATGTGGAGGTTGTGGAGTTGGGCTCAAGAGGGTTCCTTGTTGTCTTCACCTGCGAAAAAGTGTGTGGGAGGAGGCATGATTGACGGATCCTTCGTGAGCAAATTTGAATGGATTTGTCTCAGTTTGTGTGGTCTTCACAGGCATTTGATTTGTATGACACTTTTATGTATCCGCTTGTTGTGTTGCTGACTGTACACTACTAAGGTTTATTTCTGTCTTTTCAAACAAAGACAACTCCACTGAAAAGTGTGTCTGATTACTTTTTTCCCCTTCTTAATAGAAAGGGGATGCCGCAGAGGAAGGGGTGACCAGTGAAGGTATAGACTTGATCAGAAGTTTTGTTAATGTGCTGATTAAAAATATACAATTGATAAACCCTTAACTATCCACGCCTCTGACAAATCATTTTTTTTCCATCAGAATTTGATAAGTTCCTGGAGGAGCGAGCGAAGGCAGTCGACTCTCTGCCTTCTCCCCCGGGAGCTAACCCTGCTCCCCCTGCCCGCGCTCCTGGTGGCTCCCACAAGAAGGCTGAGCGGACGGAAGACACCCTCTTTGCCTTGTAGACTGTTAGCGGAGGGCCTCGGTCTCTTCTCTTGGGCATCTAAAGGTCCTCGTCCTAAATGATCCCTCCAGTCTTTCCAGTCCCATTTCGTCTCTGACCGGCAGTCAAGTGATCTCCACCTCCTTGTCATTCTCTTGCCACAGTGTTGCGCCGACATGCAGAGGTCCAATATGTTTACTGCGCACAACCATGTTGCGTTTTACTATATATGGATGTATTAATCTGTTAGTGTGGGATGTACTACTTCCAGCCCTGCATCTCATTGGTAATGCGCCACCAAAGGAAGACATCCTTACTTGTCTGATGGGGTTTAAAAATGTGGTATATTACTGCGAAATTAATGTAAAAAGTTCACTGCAGGGCAATGCATTGAGTCAGTATGGAAGAATACAATTAGGATTATATTGTGTTGTTAGCTAATTGCTAATTTATGCATTTATTGTTTTAATGGTTTGTTCTGTACTAGCGCTGTGGTATGTTTTTTTTTTTTTTTTTTACAAATACTTAAGTTTAAGCTCTAGTCATGCCTCTTATACTGAGATATGTGTGGAAGGGCAACACATTATTACCCAATTTGCCTGAGGCAGTGTGGAGAAAAGACTTAAGTTAATCGGCTAATTTAGCTAACTATGAATATAATAGCTAAATATTAGCTAATCTTGATGAGTGTATGCCAGCATTCCTTTAACCAAAGGGAATAAAAAAACCTAAAAAGCACTAGTTAGGAATCTCTGTTATGTATTTCAAATAGCTAAGGGGAAGGAACGTGCTCTCTGAATATTTCCCATCAGTCTATTCAGTCCTCTGAAACGCTACAAATATAACTAGGAAAAGTATGCTTTTGAGCAATACACGTTTAGCCATTCCAAAGAATATTAAGGCTTTAAAGACCAACTAGCACTGAATGGAACAATAATTGAGTCCATGTTTGAAATGTTAAGGGATGATGAACATTTTCCTTTCCCTGCTATATTAATGTCTGTGCACTTTGAAGCAAAAACAAATCTGTATTTTGGCCTTTGTGTTTACAAGATGGTTACTATTTTTGTAGGGGGATGGGAAACGGTCTTTAGATTGACTTCATTTTGCACACATTTTTCTAAAGTGTCATTGCAGCTCATTCACAAACTTATAATTGCAAAAACGTTTAAGAATATTAAAGATTACGTAAAGATGCAAAACACAATATGGCATCTAAATTATCAGCAAGACATTCGCTGACACCATAATCGACTTAAATACAAAATGTATAACTTACAGTAATGGACTGTCATAAAGGATGTATTCATATAGGTAGAACTAGTTGCTCTATATTATGTAATATATATATATATACCTCAAAATACAGGAATTCCTGTAACTGGTTAAAATGTATTGGCTCATTGTAAGAGACAGCATATAGGCTTATTTATCATTTCATCCCCTGATTGTATTTTTATAGTTCATGTAAAAAGAAAAAAAAACAAGTTTGTATCATTGATCTTTTTGTGGTCCAGGCAGAAGCATGCAGTAAACAAAACCTCAGTTGTACTTTCTTTGATTTGGACAGTCAAAGATTATTTTCATTCTTGTGTTTTTTCATTTTGGCATGATTCATCTGCACCTGTTGGAGCTGGTGCCTGGCATTTCCTTGATTGTCTGATTTCAGCAAAGTAGCCCTGACTGGAGTTTGTCTTTGGTGTACTTAGGATCGCAGTTTGAGGCGAAAAAGCAATCCTGCCTTCGTTACAGCTCTTTTCCTGAGGCTCTGGTTTGTTTTAACGTTGTCCAGTTATAACACCAAAAGCCTTGTCAATTTAGGCATTCCTTTTGAAATTCCTCCCTAGCTTAATCATGCTTTCAAAATTTGTTGATTTACCAGTTGTCATTATCGGCCTTCCACAAGACGGAAATATTCATTATTTGTTATAAGTAAATTCAATGGTGACATTAAAAACATATGTGTCTACACCATCATTATGATTTAAATATTTAAATGTATTTTAGCTGAGGAAAATTAATGATTAACAAGCTTTAACTTTTCAATGTTGTAAATGCTGTACGGTTATATAGGCTTACTGGTTGCCAGGTATCTGAGATAATAGTGTTACATTTACAATAAACCATAGCGTTAACTTTGACTTTTGCCGTGCAGGCTGAACAAAGAGGAGTAATAAAACAGGAGATCCTTTTAAAAGGGAACTTTGAGTCATTTTCTGTTTGTGTGTTTCATATCTCTGGATCTGTAACAGAGTGTATTGTGTTACTTGCTTGAGGGTTAAGTCCCGATTGCAACATGTATTCCTCAAAATTCTGTCTCTCTGAATGTCTTTTAATACTGACGAAACAGAGCATTTAGCTGACGTTTCATGGACATGGAAGAGAGATGTGTTTTCTGATGGTGGGTGTCTCATGTCTGTATGGCTGTGCCGTCTGCTGCCATTTATTAATGGTCAGATTTTTGTTTGATCTAATGCACGTATGTAACTGCCCAATAAAACACTAGCAATGTCTGACCTCTACCTCACAACTGTTTGCAGTTATTGTACAATACAGGGTTGTGTGACTATCTCCTACTTCTCCTTTATGCGCATGCTGATGCAACCCACCCTCAATCTTGCACTGTACTGACCATCCATTGTCACATGAGCCTCTCACCCCCCTCCCTGTACCTTGGTTCATGGACACTTCATCACTTCTGCTCCAGTGTTCAGCACGCGTAAAATGTAAACAAACCTTTGATACACACAGTTTTTGAGGAAGAGGTTTGCTTCTTTCAGTCACCAAGCAGAGCATCATTTGGAAGGTAACCAAAAAAAAAGTGAACAAGTGAATAAGGCTTGCACCTACAGACTAACACACCCCTGTACCTGCAACACCAGGCTTGTTCACAGGCTTTTAATTTTACTCCACTCCCCTAAAACTGACAACAGCTTTGCCATGCTACTCTAGGTCACTGACCTATTTCCCCACTGTGCCACTGTGAGGCTCCCCCCTTGTGCTCATGTGACAACAGAATATATATAACCCCAACTATAGTTTTACTTTAGCTGATCTGAAAATAAAGTTTTTTTTACATTATTAGTAATTAAAGTGCGTTGTTTGCTGGAAGAAGCATCACTTTACTAAGCGAAATGAGATGTATTACTGCACTGAGGGGATAGTATTTGTATAAATTTCTTTGGCCAAAATATACAATTTGCCTCATTTTAAATTCTGTTTTGCTACCTGTGTCACTGCAGGTTATTTCCCTGCCGATGCCACCACTATTCTAAGATGCATACACATGATGTAATCACTAGACCCAGAGATGTGACGTCGGATCACCCCACTCGGTTTCTGAGCTTCCCATTGGACGAGTTCACTGGTTCTACGGGAGGAGCCACTGCTTCGAGTCGAACAAACCTAGCTTTCAGGAGCTCCCGCCCGCTCGGCTCCCATTGGTTGTTGGGGGCAGGTCCACAACAAACACATCCATGCTGTTTCCCTCAATATACACACATTTTGGTGAAATATGTGCCTGATGTTAATATGGTTGTGTGGGACTGGGATGCACATTACTGTATAATTTATTATATATAAAACACATTACATGTATACACAGTAGATAATATTAATTGTTATAATACATTTCAAATGGATCCATATAGGTATTCTGAAGCCATTATGTCTGTGTTTGTTGAGTACATTAATAATCACGTCTCACTGTACATTATTACTAATCCATGGCTGTCACATCTTCAGTCAAATAACCAAAACAACCCTGAGAAAGAGGGACGTGGGAATCCAGTTAAAAGCCAGAGATTGTCGGGCCCGCCTGTCAATCACCGCCGGATGGGTGGGTTCGTACAGCAGACGCCGCCAGCACGTTAGTACTGAATGAGCTTCAGTGTTTGGCTTTGGTTTGACAAGTTTCCCCGACAGTCATGGGGGTAGGAGTGAAGAGTTAGTGGGCACGTCAAAAAAAGTTGCAGCTCACTCTGCGCGTGTTTCAGGTAACTTGGGATCGGACGCTTTTGGCAAATGTAGGCGACGTAATAAGTGTCCGATTTTCTTCCTTCAAAGCGGTTCGATAGCCAGTCAGCTCCACATTAAGCCAGACACAGGAGACGAAGATGAATGACGTTAACTTGTCGTTTGACGATGCTTCGTTGGATAACCTGGATCCAACACTGTCGCTCAATGACCCCAGCGACATCGACACGGCCCTCTTAAGCGACATCGACGGTAAGAAAATACAAAACAGTGGCTGGTAACGTTTGCTTAACTTAACAACACTGCTCGCAACTTAACGCAAACGTTACCTCCTGCATGTCATGTGTGTTTCACTTATCAGCTTGACCTGCCTCCTGTATTTTACATCTGATGTTTGGACTAAAAACCTCCATTTATACCAACATAAATAACTAATTTACAAGTGACCTACTGAAACGTTGTAGCTTGCAGCGTATTAGCTTTCATCAGCCTTCATCAGCTAGACTAACGTAGCTAACGTTAATCACTTGGCTAGTATAATTTAGAGCTTAGCTGAGGCGATAATAGTAGGTCTCGTTATGCGATTACAGCGTTGTTTCTTGCATGATCAAAAATCACTGCCCGAATCTTACTGTACAGTAAGACAAATCGATTATTAGAGCGGGTTAGCTAAGCGAACAGGTCAAGCTAGCGTGCTGCTAAGTGGTCGTGAGTGCGCCCCGCCCCCAGCAGACAGGGGTTACTGCCGTTCATTCTTCCTCGTAGGGTTCACAGCTCCTCAACACCGAGCAGTTCAAATAAATAAAGATATACATTGCTGTCCAGAAATTAAAACACTATAATAAAGATGTGACATATTGACAAATGTCGTCTCCCCTCCCATATTTTTGTTTACGTTTGCATAACGTTTGTGCATGTCTAAATACTGGCGTAGGGATTCAGCTGTTTATATATGTGTCACTTTCTCATCACTCGTTTGATGTAATGTTAGGGATGCAGAGCAGAGAAAACATGACATAATCAGGCATATATCAGTGATGTATTATGTTGTGTTTCCTTAGAGATTCCCCAGTAATAGCTAATATGTTTTATGATAATATTCCGTGTATTTAAGAAAAGCACCACTGTGGTAAACTGCAGTCAGTAATGCCTATCCTGCAGCCGCTCTCGCCCACTTCCTAAACTTGACCGACAGTAACCCTCGGCGGTGTTGCTCGATGGTAACCTCGCGCACAGACAGCGCTCCCTCTCTCTTGTCTTGAGCTGATCGGCATAGCAAGTCTCTGAGACGCGCTCTGATTGGTCAAGAGCGATCACCTCATACAAAACACTGGATTACAAATACAGGGAGCTGCGTTTCACTCCTTTCACAACATACATGCGTTTTATTATTTGCGGTATATTCCTGGTGAGGTCAAAATTATAAAATATATTTCTAGAACAGATATTAAAAGCGTTGCCCACTCAGCCACACCAGTTCCTATGATATTAAAGACATTTTAGATCTCTTATGCTAATGGGAACCCATGAGTCAGTAGCTGCAAGACCATTACCAAGTTAGTTTCATGACTCTTTCATATGTTTTTCACTGTACTTGGGGCCAAATTTTTGCTGGTCCCTTACAGTACTTTGGCCCACAGCTGCAGGACTACTATAAATAGCCTGGCTGCACTTTGATTAAGGAACATTACATGAAGAAAGTACACTATATGTGTATTTTGTGTGTTTTTACAGTGTATGTCATAATGCACTTTGAACGCAAATCCAATTTTGGATATTAGTCAATCCTGGTTCTAGTTCATGTCTTTCTTTCTTTTTTTTAAGTATAAATAAAAAACCAAGATCTGATGAAACAGAGTTTTAAACCGTCCTAACAGACATTTGTCATAAATCTAACTAAACTAAATGCAAATATTTATTTGTATTTTGAATGTTTTACACTGGTTCTGGTGGTAAAATGTGTGTGTTCTTATCCCACACTGCAGTAAAAGCTTTGTTAGATGTACAGTACTTCCTCCTTGCATGAAGTTATTTTATACACAATGGTTATTGCCATATTATCATCACTATCCTGTTAATGTGATTTACATTCTCCCAGATGCAAATTTAGAAAATGCACTGCACTCTCTATGGTTGCACTGCAGAATTATTTCTGTGTATATGGATATAAATGACTGTATAGGCCTATATTGATTTATTTAATTTATTTGTTAACCCCTACTGATCTAACTTTAATAATCTGTTACAAACTTAAATTTTGTTGAACCTTGTGTTGTATAAAATTACCTTGATCCTTGTATTCTGTAACGTTCTTTTGAGTCCCCTCTCTGATCTGTTATATCATAAACACTGTGCATGTGGGTTTGTTACTGAGAAGTTGTTTTCAGTAATCAATGAGCCAAACTGAACACATTGTTTCTTAACAAATGCTCAGGTCTTCAATTCAGAACTGTACTTGATTCTTGTGTTTTTCTATGTGATCAGTAGCGGTGATGGTGGTTCGGATTTCTCTCCATTTTCAGACATGCTACAGCTCATCAACAGCCAGGACATGGAGTTTGGAGGACTTTTTGATAACCCATACACAGGGCCTCCTCCCACCCAAGAGCTTCCTGGTTTGACCCAGTCCATCACCCCGACTGTCCCCCCAGCCGCCACTACCGTACCTCCGCCTTCCTCCTCAATCCTTAGCAGTAGCCCCCACCTGGATGCACTCCTGGGCCCTCCCATCACCCGTAGTTCCTCCACCCCAGACAAGGCCTTCCAGCCTCCCACTTTCCAGAAGTCCCCCCTGGCCCAGGTGGCCAACTGCACCCAGAGGCAGCATCCAACGTCTCTGCAGCTGGCTCCGAGCCTCAGACAGCCCCAGGTGGAGCAGCCCCAACCCATTCTCAGCAGCCAGTCTGCCCCAGCCCAGGCAGCTTCACCGCATGGCTCACCAGGACCGAACTCAGCTTTCAGCTCCATGCCCCAGGCCCTCTTCGCCTCACCTGCACCCCAGACTCCGCCTGCACCCCAGACTCCACCCCAGCCTCAGCCCCAGCAGCAGCCCCAACCCCAGACCCAGCCACAGCTGCAGCCGCAGACACAACTTCAAGCCCAGGCTCAGTCCCAAAAGATCCGGACCAACTTCAGCAGCCAAAACAGCTTCACAGGTAAGCACTCTTTTGATGTAGGTTATTGCGGCCCTATTTTCTTTGTCTCTAACTGGATCAATCATATATCCACAAATGTATCCTGTCTTCTCTAAAGAACGTCCCTGAGTCAGTTTCCTGCTGTCCTTTTATCTTATTTTTTCCGTGTATTTTTTAACAACCTTCATTAGCAGGTTTTAACCAGAAATAGGCATTTGACAATTTTGTTATTTTTGAATTGTCTAAAATTTAGAAAAGACTTCAAGTCATATTTGTCTCTCCGAAAGCTGCAGATGTATAAAAAAGAAGTTTTAAATGGCCAGTTTCTTAAACTGGTACCATCATCGGTGTTAATTCTTCAGTGATTAGACTGTAACAATCTTTCTCAACAATACTTGTATAAGATGTTTTCCTGCATGCATTGCTGTTTCATTGACTCTTGAGATACAAAGTGACAACTCCTGGGTTATTCAGAATGGCACAGGAGTCCACAGCATTAGGCCCCTTCTACTACTGCTCCATTTTAGTTTAGAAACAGAGTTTTAAAACCAATACAATCTCCGTCCACACCAGTGTTTTAGCTGTGTATCAGAGTTGTTCTCTGTCTAACCTAAGGCCTAGTCCACATGGACACAGGTATTTTTATAAACGGAGTTTTTCCTCCTTCATTTAAAAAAAAATCTCTGTCTACATGAAAATGCAAAAACACGCTATCAAGCACTGTCAAGAACATGCCAAACCACCAGGCAGCGATATGACCCTAACTGTAAAGCCATGTTGGCCAATCAGTGCCTAATAAAATTTAAAATAAAGCAGGCAGTGGTGCACAATCTGGCATCAAACACAGCATATAACGGCGCGCATTCTGACGTTGCAAGGCGAAATCTCCGGTTTTACTGTCTACAGGACAACACTGCAACCAGTGTTTTTTCAAGTCCTCACCCTGGCAGGGGTTTTCAAAAATGTCCGGTTTTAGTGACCCGATACTGGATTTCCGTGTAGACGAATGGCCAAACCGCGTGGAAAAAGTCACGATTTTGGAAATACCCGTGTTCGTCTAGACAAGGCCTAAAACGACAGAAAACGAACATTTAGTGGCTGTTCATGTACACTGCGCATAGTAACAGAAGATTTGGTGAAAGAATAAAGTAATGCAGATGAAGAACCACACCAGATATTTTTTTTGCATGGATCAATAACGAGCTGGGACTGTTTCTGAATGTAACACAGGAGTTAAAAGCGACTGTGGCAGTGGAAAACAGACTGGGAGTGGTCGCAAAGTAAACAGCGACATGCACAGTACAAGTGTAGGCTATAAGTGTTTGCACAGTACCAAATATTTTAATAAAAATACCAAATCAAAAAGTTTCTGCTTTGCATTACTCATAAGACCCAATCAGAGAGCCAAACGTGAGCATCTGTGTCATCGTTTTTAAAGTCCTCCGTTTTTGCCCTCACTAAAACGCCCTCCGCAGTTTTAAGTCTGGATGGGAGGTGCAAAAAGTCAAGTTTTAAAACCAAAACACAGTAGTGTGGATGGGACCTTAAAAACACCCACTTACGTACTAAGACAGAGAGCGACATAACTTTTGTTCTATTTTAAAAAGGAAGGAAATGCTAAAAATCAAGGATAAGAATTAGAGTGCCATCATTTTTATGCTAATTCTTCTGTAAAATATTAACATACAAAAAAAAAAAGAATCCGCCAGATCTTTTTGTTCTCGGCTTGTCTGTTAAATGTTGATACAGGCATACGGTTTTGCAGCTGCCTCTTGTACACACCTTCAACTAAAATAGTTAATAAGTTTAAATAGATTACAACATTGGGGCCGATGTATTTAAAAGCAGATGTGTGTTTCCCGTGCTAGTCTAGTTTGGAAATCTCATACAAATTAAACTCCAGTGCCCTGCAAGGGGGCGCTTCATGTGTATTGCATTCACCAAACAAGAAGGACACTTTTTTATTCAACCTCAGCTGATCTCATCTCCCATCCTAATCTAATAGAGTTTGGTCAACAGTGCGGGAGTCTGTGAGCTACATGCAAATGCTTTGTCTAGTCTACACTGATTGTTTTGCACACGGCAGTGTATGTTCATATTGTACTATGTATGCATACAAGCTGCAGCCCGTGCCCGTGCACCAATAACCAATAGTTTTCAACCAATACAAATATATCTAATATTTATTCACCTTCATTGACCAATACCAGTATGCTGTTTTGGCTTAGTACCAATTTGGTAATTTCGCAGTTGTAACAGGTAACCTGCTATTTAAAAGAATTGAAAAGATTGGGAAAATTTTCACAAACATCGCAACACATCGCAGCGGAAAAAAGAAAAAGCTGATATTGACTAACACTGATGCAGTGTGTTGGTTGGTCTAATTTCTTCGTGTATAATTGTCAGCTACAGCTTTTGTTAGCAACAAAATATCAGTAGAGCTTTGTTGTTTGAGTGCTCGAATCTGACGTCACTAATATGAAATGTACAAATGAACAGTAGGGTGTGATGAGACACTTAACCCACGAGACGAGACAATATTTGAGATTGGGTTCACGAGATCGAGACGACATTTTAACACTATTTTTAAGAAATCTTGAAAGCTGAATTATATGAAAATTGTGAGTATAAATTCATAATTTACAGCATTCTGATGAATGTTTCTGCACCAGTTTATGGTGATTTTTGAGGGGGGGGGGGCAAATTCAGGTTGCAGGTGAGATTCAAACTCACTAACTACAACAGAATCTAAGTCAGTTCAGCTCTCAGTCATTCTGTGTTGCTTTTGGATATATTTCTCCTGTAGAACAACTTTTCTCCTGTAATATCATCCCTGCTGAGTCATGATTTTTCCCTCCTCTTTGTCTTTGCTTGGTGAAGTAACATCTTTTTGCACATTCAGAATCTCTACCACATATCTGTGTTCTCTGACGTGTCCAGAAAAAGTCACAATATTACCAGATTAACGTCATCATTTAATGAGAATTCTACCTGCCCTTTACTCTGCTGTGCATTACGTTATTAATCCGCTGGAAGTAACGTTTTCCCCTTCAGACGGTTTGATCGACGCAGTTTGGGACTGCATGTTGCATGTGAAACAGAAAGTAACTGAAACACTTTTGATCAGGCAGAAATCTCACCACACATCCACACACATGTTAACTTCGCCAGCTCAGATAAAGTGCAGCTCCCAGTTCCAAACAGAGCAAGGTTGCGCTTCAGTTTTCAGATGTTTATGTTTCAAAACTCTATCAGCTATTCCTTACCACTCATTACAGCTGTACACCGGACCATAACACAAGCGGGTCCGGCTGATTACTCTCAGGGAGTACGGCGGTGTCAATCAGCTGGGTGGAGTTGATTCGCACTGTGAGTCTATCTTATCAGTTATACTACATTTGTATTTCACTGCGTGAGAAAATGAATGTGTGGCTTGACAGCGTGTGAAAAATGTAATTTGCGTGAGTCTCGCGAGACAGCTTTTTACCTGATGAGAAATATCGTCACAGTTCAATCTCGCGAAATCTCGTCACACCCCCAATCAACAATGTATAATGGAAACAGGGATATTGTTTTGTCTGCATGGAAAACTAAATCAACTCTGCAATACTTAAAATGAAAGCAATTACTTCATGCTCTGTAAATTTTCCTGTTGAAAAGTAATGAGGTGATGGATATGTCATAACCTTTAAACAAGCTTGAATTAAGGCTAAAAGGAATCCTTGTCATAACTATTTTACCAGCTGGCGGTCCCGGCAGTGTAAGCCAACCCGCTACCAGCTTGTCGTCCTCACCTCAAAGTGTTCAGCCAGTGACCATTCAGACTCAGATCCAAGGGCTGACTACCACTTCTCCTCTCCTGACTACGTCAGCAAGCCCGCCAGTTCAAGCCATTGCACCCCACGTACAGCAAGTACCTGTAAGTGCGTTACACTGGCACCCAAAATAAATTCTGTGTACTGTTTGTTTGTCTATTTTGGAATAAAAACAACTAAACTGTATATATTTCCTGTGTTTGATTGTGTCTTCTCAGGTGTTGCTGCAGCCCCAGTTCATCAAGGCCGATTCTCTGCTGCTGACCACTCTGAAGCATGACCCCTGCATTGTCACAACTGTGGCCTCTCCCACGTCCCTGGCCAACACCACCTCCGTACAGAGCGCTTCACTGCAGGTACGCACATCATGTCCAACTCAATAATGAGAGCGTACAATGTGCTTTGTTGCCAAGGCATTGCAGCTGAGTTTACACTTTAGATATTTAACTGTCACTGATATCCGGAGCAAGACAACTACGGTGATCAAATCAATAATTTGAATTAAATTGAACTTGTAAGATAGAAGTACCATTAGAATCACTGCTGTCAGATGCTGTTAAATACTTTCTTCTCCTGTGCCACCTTATTTACCTCCTCAGGCCTTCATGGGCGGCGGCACCATCCTGACCACGGTGCCTGTCATGGTGGACGCTGAGAAGCTACCCATCAACCGCATCGCCATCAGTAGCAAGACCACTGGGCTGCCGCACAAAGGCGAGAAGCGCACAGCACACAACGCCATCGAGAAGCGCTACCGCTCCTCTATTAATGACAAAATCATCGAGCTCAAAGATCTGGTGGCCGGCACTGAGGCCAAGGTAGGAAAGAGTATCTCTTGACTTCATTGCAGTCTCCCCATGTCGTAGAAAAATTAAGTGCTGATAGATTCTAAGAGTGTGTGCTTTTTGTGAGACCTGGCTATCAGCAACATTAAGAAAAGGCAGAAGACGCTAATTATATTATTGTTTGTGTTTTTACTCTCTCACAGCTCAACAAGTCTGCAGTGCTGAGGAAAGCCATCGACTACATCCGTTACCTGCAGCAGGCCAACCAGAAACTCAAGCAGGAGAACATGGCTCTGAAAATGGCAGCCCAGAAAAACAGTACGTGCTTAAAACCTTTCCCTCCTCTTTATTCCATAACAGCTTCTCTGCAGTTTATTTCAGTTCCTTTAAAGTAGGTAATTCAGTTGACCTTTCTGTGATGAGGTCTATTGATAGCTACTGTTATCCTCAAATGACAAAAGTGAAAATGGTCTTCTGCAGCCTCTAAGTGGAATTGAAGGCCGAAGATGCCTTTACGTTTTTCGACACTGATTGACCCTCTAACCCTCCTACTTCAGAGTCTCTCAAGGACCTGGTTGCCATGGAGGTGGATGGACAGGCTGATGTGAAGAATGAGCTGCCCACCCCGCCAGCCTCCGACGTGGGCTCCCCCACCTCTTTCTCACACTGTGGCAGTGACACTGAGCCTGACAGTCCGATGGTGGAGGACACCAAGGTATGCAGCTCTCATTAAAACTGCTGAACTAAATCAATCACCGCTGCACTTCATCAGCAGAGTAAAGAATGGAGGTACTGTCCACGCTCAACTTGTCACATTGAGTTTTGCTAACACAAAGGCATCTCTCTGGTCTCTCTTCTACTCTGCAGCCGAATGTGGGCATTGTAGACAGTTCGTCAGCAGGAGGTAGAGCTGCCGGCATGTTGGACCGTTCCCGCATGGCATTGTGCGGCTTCACCTTCCTCTTCCTCTCCCTCAACCCTCTGGCAGCCCTGCTCTGCTCATCTGGAAGCAGTTCACCCGGAAGCCCTGGAGCCTCCCATCATGCGGGAAGGAGCATCCTGGGTGTGGATATTGCAGGTACAGGGTGCTCAAATTATAAAAAAAAGCTCTGCTTTCATGTGTTATATTCAAAATTATGACTCCAAAATGTTTACCCTTCAATTCAAATAAGTTGTGTTTTCTGCAGCGGACTCGTGGGGCTGGATGGACTGGATGCTGCCAACCATACTGGTGTGGCTACTGAATGGTATTCTGGTTTCTGGGGTTCTGATCCGACTGTTGGTGTATGGAGAGCCTGTAACCAGACCACATTCTGGATCCTCTGTCTTGTTCTGGAGGCACCGCAAGCAGGCTGACCTGGACCTAGCTAGAGTATGTTGTTTTGCTTGATATCGATGAATTATAATGATCCTCATGGAGACATTTGATCCTTTTTTTTAAAAGCAACACCACATTCCAAAAGAGAGACCTATGTCGCTATACCCCTCAGAAGTTACCTTTTTGTTATTTTCCTGTCTTAACTGACTTGCTCTGGGTCACCTTTTTATCTGTTCTTCCTTATCATCTCTGATCTCTTTTCTCCCTCTTCAGGGAGATTTTGCCCAGGCCAGTCAGAACCTGTGGACCTGTTTAAAGGCTCTCGGTCGTCCTTTACCCACCTCCCAGTTGGACCTGGCCTGCGCTGCACTCTGGTCCCTGCTAAGATTCTGTCTCCAGCGCCTCTGGGTGGGCCGCTGGCTGGCTGCCAGGGCTGGAGGGCTGCGATCTGATCGCCCCCTGCAGGAGGACGCCTGCAAAAGCAGCCGTGACGCCGCCCTGGTTTACCACCGCCTGCACCAGCTACACATGACAGGTTGGTTGGTGGGGGAAAAACTAAATTGAAGCTTATCTCAGGTGATTAAAGAGCAACTTATTTTGATTCAGTGCCAATAAAAGGTTTAGACTAAGGTTGCAAAACCATTCAGCTTAAGTAATTATTACTTTTATGTGATTTCTTGTCCTGATTATTGTATCACTGTCAAAAAAAAATATAAATGTTTTTGTCTTCAACCTGTGCATACAGGTAAGCTGAATGGTAGCCACCTGTCAGCAGTGCACATGGCTCTGAGTGCCGTGAACCTGGCAGAGTGTGCTGGCTCCTGCCTGCCCGTAGCCTCTCTGGCTGAGGTCTACGTCTCTGCAGCTCTACGGGTCAAAGCCAGCCTGCCAAGGATCCTGCATTTTACCTCCGTAAGTCCCTTTAGTTTACACAGGCACATCTTGCTCAGTGATTTATAATGTACAATGTTTAATATTTAATTTAATTTATTTGTATTTTCTTGGATGCTGTTGGTTGTTTAGAGTTCAAGTGGTATGCACTTAAACAGCAAGCAGTTTTGAGTTGATTTTTGGTTCATTTGTTTTCCATGTTTAATTAACATAAACTGAGTCATTAATGGTTGTTGAAATGAGCTACTACACTGAACCCAAACATCATTAGTAAACTATAAGCTGTCCGCAGTCCCACTTTTATAAGAAATTAGAGGGAAGTACTTAACTGAGTACTTTCTTTCCTCCTGATAGCGTGTATTCCTGAGCAGTGCCCGCCAGGCGTGCCTGTCATCCAGTGGCAGTGTGCCTCCAGCAATGCAGTGGCTCTGTCACCCACTAGGTCACCGCTTCTTTGTGGATGGGGATTGGGCTATTCGCAGCACACCTAGAGAAAGCATCTACAGCCAGGCTGGCAATACTGGTCAGTGCAGACAAAATATAGTTCACACTTCCTGGTTTGTACATGCTCACTCAGGCAGTTGTATTTCTCATGTTCATGGTTTGTTGGAACTTTTACAGTGGATCCCCTGGCCCAGGTGACCCAGGCATTCAGAGAACACCTCCTGGAGAAGGCTCTATATTGTGTGGCCCAGCCTCATGAAGAGAAAAGCCCCAGCCAGGGCGAGGGGTGAGAAAACAAAAACATACTTCCAAATCACTGTGCAATTTATTTACCATTTATATCTTTTATTGGAATTTCTGTGTTGGTTTACTTTTATTTGATGTATTTTTACATTCTTTGTATAACTAAAAGCAGGGTAAAAGGGTAACAGCAACAGTAAGGATAACTTAATTGACAAAAAAAAAAAAACTAAGCTGAAATAATTAATCCTTTGGCAGTAATAGACTTACTCTCATTTTATGCTCATGTGGCAACAAAATAACCCTTCATTGTGTGTCTCTCCTCAGGGAGTATGCTGACGCCCTGGAGTACCTCCAACTGTTGATTAGTGCATCAGATGCGGCTGGTGCCACCTCCCAGTCCTTTGCTATTGGTTCCAACATGGCTACTGTGACTGGTAAGTCATTTCTGTTAACTCCGAGCTTGTTCAAAAAACATTAGTGCCAACTAATGCCAGCAGTTTTTGAATCCCAGCCCAAAATCAGCTTCTTAAACTGTGGCAGCCTATCACTCAGTGACTGAGACTACATCTGTTGCTTGAGTACATCAACACATTCAAGTGTTGATTTTTGGCTCCTTACTTCATCGCTACTTGTCTTCTCTAAAATACATTTGCTATTCCCGCATCTTTCCTTCGCCTGCCCCAACTTCGATTTCCATAGTGTCTTCGCAAAATAAGAAGCAGCGAGATTAAGTTCATTTCCCCGCTATCGAGGTCAAGTAGCCTGATTGTCAGTGGGTTGACTTCCACCCTCCCACCACCTTTCCTTTGTCCTCACTGATCAGTGATCTGAGCGAAAGGGGGCTAGGTGAAAGGGAGGCCTTCACTAGATTGCTTCATCTATCTTCAGCACTGTCAATTCGGTGATCACCTTGAGAGGTGGGAGGGAGGGAAGTCTGTGCACAGATTTTAATGGGAGACTTTTCTTGGCAGAGCCTCAGTTTGCTCACACAGTTTGAGAAGTGTGTGTGTGTGTGTGTGCGCGCTACCCAATGTTAAATGGAGAGGTTTTCCATCATGAGGGAGTCGTCAAAATGGCTGCTTTCTCTCAGCATGTTGTGACTGTGCCAGAGGGGAGAAACAGAGTGATTCAGAGGTCAAAATACAGACAGCAGCTGTCTCTCTCTGTGGAGTGTATGTGTGTGTGCACTGTCATGCATGTAAATGTAAAAGTGTGCAGAGGGGGAAATATTTGCTTGTTTGTTTGTGTGCGGGTGTCTCACCACTGACTGCTTTTCCGACTTCCAGGCTGCGACCCCCACTCCAAGTGGTGGTCCTCTGTTGCTGTGGTGATCATCAACTGGCTCCAAGGAGATGACGCTGCGGCGGAGAGACTGTATCCGACTGTGGAGCACTTGCCCCGCAGTTTGCAGAACGCAGAGTAAGTTGGACCATATACACACAATGGAACTTCTCCAGCCAGCCTTAAGAGTGTTGCACAACTTTTGTCTGCACACACACACACACACACACACACACACACACACACACACATACATTTCCACAACTTTTAACCTCTGTCCTCTGACTCTTTCCCCCCTCGCTCTGTCAGGAGTCTTCTGCCCAATTCGTGTCTGAACACATTCAGGGCGGTGAGGGCTCTGCTGTCCAAGCCAGAAAACTGCCAGTTGAGTCTGAGCTACAGCGACAAGGCCAGCTCCCTGCTCCGAGACAGCCTCAACCTAGGACCACACTGCCACAGCTCCAGTTTAGACAAGGTACACACACACAAAGATACGACCACTTGGAGAATCAAGTTGATTTTTATTATTCCTGTGAGGGAGGATTTTGTGAGAGCGACAGCATCTGCATTAAAATTATTTAAAAAATAACATACACATAAATGCACACAGTGACAGATGTGCCCACGCATGTGGGAAAATTATAAACACAGAAAATTGCATACATAATCAATTACATAATCACTTGAGGGTGCACACACACAACATTCTTTTCACAATAAAGGGCCACGCACTTTACCACTGACAGCGAATCCCCTGCAGCAACTCCTCTCTGTGATACCGCGATGTCCTACCCTCTGGCGTTCAGCAGATGGTGATGCTGGTGGATAGGCAGCTCACAGCGTGTGCACGTCTCCGTCCAGAGCTGTGGTGCATTGTAGTTGCATTGCATGTGTGTCTCAGTGGAGTGCAATGTACCTGCAGTGCAACACAGAGCTGGGCCATTAACGGCAGAACACACACACAGCGAGGTGGGGTGGGGGGGAAGGGGGCGCTATGTCCTTCAACTTGAAGCAAAACTCTGTTAGTAGTGGGGCAATATCTTTGTGTATTACTCATCTGCTTTTCATTGTCAGCATACAAGGTTTTTTTTTTATAAATAAAAATGATTTAGCATTACAAAGCAATAACAAAATCATATTTCTTTCAGAAATATTTCAGAATGGCAGCTATAGTTTGACTTACCATTATAATACTGTTACTGTACTGTAGAAGTTTTAACAGGACACTTTTTCCGAACCAAAACATGCTGTCTTCACACCTTTTGTCAGATGTTTTCCTCCATATTGCTTTGCTCTAAGTGTATCAACAGTTGTATTAGAAACACATTTTCTTTATAAGCATGTCCCTTAAATTTAGATCTAAAACAGAGACACGTGGTGTCCTTTCTGCAGCTTGTGGCGCCAGTGACTGCTCTGGCGGTGAAATGCATCCCACCTCAGTCGTAATCTCGTCCAACCCTCTCTAGGTTGTCCAGCTGCTCTTGTGTGACCTCCTGTTGGTGATGAGGACCAATGTGTGGCGTCTGCAGCAGGGGGCCGGTCCTGCGTGGTCAGGGTTGGTAGGTACCAGTGGCCCCACAGGGGTCCACCAGGCCTCCCCACCAGAGCTCCAAGGCTTTCAGCAGGATCTAAGCTCTCTTCGCAAGCTGGCGCACAGCTTCAGGCCTGCAATGCGAAGAGTACGTATCGGACACTATGTTTCACCTGTCCATTTTAGTCAATTATCTCATGCTAGGACTTATAAATGGACAGTTAGACTTATAATTAGTGAGCAATTTGGGGGATTCATTAATTTGTTAAAATACAATCACACTTTTTATTTCATTTAGACTGTTATTAAACTTTATTTCCTCTCAATCAAGCACACAAGCAGACATCCAAACATGAATACTCGGCTGACAGACAGATTTGTATTGTATTTGTATTGTATGTGTCAGGCACTTAAAACTGCTGCTCATCAAAACGTGCCTTTTAAAAAAAAATCCTAATAACCCGACAAGTAGAAGAGGAACGCACAGGCATCATGACAGATTCTTACATGCTGCACATACCTGGAATGACAAATCCAAAGAAGGATTCAGATACAAAATGGCAACGCATTAGGAAAAGCATGTAGCATATACACATATTTGCAGGCAGTGCATAGTACAATTCTCCATGGAAATTAACTGGGGAGTGTTGCAACATATGCGCACACACACACACACACACCTGAGGCAAGTGTTTAGCAGCCCTGTTCACAAAGATTCAAAGTCTCTCTGAGGTAGAGCTAAACACTCAGTATGAGTCATCATCACATGCTCTCCTCCTCCTCCTCCTCTCATCTCTTTTTCCCTCAATCCATTTCCAGTTGTTCCTTCATGAAGCTACAGCCAGGCTGATGGCAGGGGCCAGTCCCACCCGCACACATCAGCTGCTGGATCGCTCGCTGCGACGAAGAGCTACGCCCGGAGCCAAGACAGGTAGGTGTGTGTGTGTGTGTGTGTGTGTGTGTGTGTGTGTGTGTGTGCGCAGAGACGTACCTTTTTGTTGTTTTATATTTTTCATCCACTCTGCACAAGTAACTATGTTTAACTGTTTTATAAGTTGTATTTTTAGATATTGCAGGCAGTATGAAAGGCTCTGATCACATAACCATCATTGTTTTTTCAGAGGCAAATTAGTGCATTATCAAGATCTAATTAGGTAGCATTAAATCAGGAAGCAAAACATTTTTTGAAACTAGTAAACTTATACAAATAAACCTCAACTGTGGATGCTGCTATTCTCCGAGCATCCAATTTTAGATTTGTGTTTTCTTGCTATTCAAATAGAAGCTGGTTGGTTGCAGCTCTCCACAACTTTTTTTAAATAAAAGTTGTAGTAAGCTGAGAGACACTTAATTGCTGTAATCAGTGGCTCTAATCAACTTCTCGTCTATTTTGATAAATTATTGTTTACTACACTAAATTCCATTAGTAATCAAACAAGGAGCTGCAAAAGTCTGATTGGCTGCTGGTAGCTGATGACATCGAAAAGCTCACCCGAAACACCACGGTAACAACATTGTTTGTGTTTTTTTGCCCGCAGAAGAGTGCGAGACGCGGCCAGGCCAGCGAGAGCAGGCGGAGGCCGTGATGCTGGCGTGCCGTTACCTTCCTCCCTCCTTTCTGTCGGCTCCCGGCCAAAGGGTGGGCATGCTGGCGGACGCAGCCCGCACCCTGGAGAAGCTGGGAGACAAGAGGACCCTCCACGACTGCCAGCAAATGATCATCAAGCTGGGCAGTGGTACCACTGTCACCAACAGCTAGACAGAAAGAAGGGGGGGGGGAGCGCGAGAGACAAGCATGGACATTGTATATAAGAAACATCTCTGACATACAAAAACACACAGATACAGAAAAGAAACATGTCCCCACAGACACACAACCATACTGTCTCTGTCATTTTGGCGCGCAGCTATTGAACAGATTTAATAAATTATACAGATTCATATCAAGCTGTCAAGATTTTCTTCATGGATTGTTCCTCCCACCACCCCACCACCCCAACCTCACAGTAGGAGGCACTTCTTGTCACACTCTTGTTTCTGTGGATTATTACCAGAATATATGAAGCATTTTGCTCTCTAACCGAGCTGAATCTCCCGCTGTGAGAATGCATTGCAGTGCCACAGTTTGACCACAGAGAGGAGCCACCGTGGGTGTGTGTGTGTGTGTGTATGTGTGTGTGTGTGTGTGTGTGTGTGTGTGTGTGTGTGTGTGTGTGTGTGTGTGTGTGAGAAGCCTAACAGAGATGTTTGCCCTGCATTTATTCAGAATAGCCCCAGCCCCTGATCTTTTTGTCATAGATGCACTTTCTACAGGCAGGAGTGCCCAGTTGGGTTGGAGTGGCGGGCTGCTCTGATTGGCTGCAGAGTGAGGAGTCTGTCGTTCGTGGGAGGAAAACGACCAAACCCGGATTGGTCCGACCGTGGGCTTGTTCAGTGGGAAGCCACTCAGCAGGTTGTTCAAATATTGTTTAAAAAGTTAATTTGAATCATGTATTTCAAATGATAATCTGATGCGTGGTGAGCCACTGCACAAGCTCTGTCTCTACCTGCACTAGCCCTACAAGGCTGAATTAAATGAGATGAGTAATAAAATGGCTTTATGAGGTTATTTTCATTGAGATCGTTGTTGTTTTTTGCTATGTAAATATTTTAAAAATGTATTTATAATCTAAACATTTGATTAAGCAGTATTTTGCATAAGCAGAGTGATGAATGCTTTTCTTCCTTCAAACCTGTTTTTATTTGGTAGCTTTTACCGGGGTCCTAATAACATAGTTACTGTACTGCCATGGCGACGAGTTTCAAAGTGGAGACGGTATCAAGTTATTTGCGTCACATTGTCTGACTCAGTTGACCTTTTGCACTGTTGCACACGTATGCAACTATGGTATCAAAAGAAATTGGCAGCGTCCAATTCAGGCATCGCCAACCCGACAACTCAAAACTGTAACGTGAACCTTTGGCACTTTTGTTACATGAGTCATGCAGACAACAAAATAATTGACAATTTTTTTTCCAAAGAGGGCCTATTCTATAGTGAATCTTCTGGTTTTCCTTTGTAACATACTTGCTGTCTAAGTCATTATAGTTTCATGCACCTATAGAACCACCGTTTATTGATGTTTACAGGAATGTAAAAAACAAACTTTGGCATGTCCTTTTTTTCCCAGGACCAGTATGTTTTTATAGTGTGTCACTAATGTGAATGACTGAAAGACCATTGGATTGAGATGAATGAGAGCCATGTCTAAAGGTATTATTCATGTGTCCTTTTTAACATCTGTTCATCTCTTCCTTGTTCTTTGGTTTCATCCTTTTATGATGTAAATATTAAAGCATTTTGTAAAGAAGACTATATTGTTTCCTGTGGTGCTTTCTGTTTTAATGGTGTTATGGAGTTTGATACCACGTGATGATGCTGATGTGATGATAAAAGTAGATAAGTCTTGCCCCAGTAAGCTCAAAATTATGCAAGTATGTCATGTGCTTACATGTAAAATGGGACAAAACTTTAGCAAAATGTACAGAACATATCTATTTGGGGGGGAAATGCTGAAATAAGGTAATCTTTTTTTTGTGTATTTCAAAACTCAATTATTTTCTAATTTTTGTAAGCAAAGACCAAAAGTTAAATGATAAAAGGAATAGTTGCCTGTAATGTGCCTTCTGAAATGCAGATGGTTAGTAGTAGACATTTTTATAATTTGAATAATGAACTTCTTTATTAATATCAGGTTGGAAGCTTTACCACATGACTAATGATTGTGTCATGATTGTATATATGGCTATGATTTACCTTTATGACTCATGGTCACGTTTACTTGGCGAGCACTTGGGTTGTCATTGTTGCCACTCTGCACAGCAGCACAGGGTCAGAGAGGAAGAAAATGTGCTGATCCAAATTGTGTCGCCGGTGTATTAATGTCAGTGCGTGTTCAGTAAAGACAAAAAGAGCAGGCGTTTGTCATAGCAGCATTGAAAGGTGCTGGTATATTTAACATTGGCGTTACAAAAAACATTTCAAACAAAGTGATGCTGTGTCATCGATTCCAAACAAAGAGACATGAAAATCAATAAAACGGCATGCTCCAACTAAAGACAAGTGACATTCCCAAAAAAGGTCGTTATTTTTTCATCAATGGATTCTTTTAATAACATTTTATAAGCAATAACATATTCCATTTTATAGAAAATAAACATCTCTAGGAAATACTATACACAATTATATTAGTACATCACATCTTACATTTAAACAGCATCAAATACTTATATACACCATTAAATAATGAGCTTCATAAAAGAGCAAGTTTGGTGTGGCGGTTTTGCACTTTCTTTTTTGCTCTAATACTTAAATATGTCTCCTTTTGATATGACCAGTACTTTAACTGTCGCCCTGTACAGGGCATTGTTACATAGCATGGAAGAGTGAAAGAGGCTACATTTGAGATACACAGACAGGTGTGTTATGAAATCTGAATAGAATGTATATCTTTCTGCACTGCTGTGGTTAGTGAAATAATCATACATGATGGCAATGTGTAACAGTAATACTTATGAACTGTACATAGATATGAAGTGAGATGACCTGACTCCCGGTTGGACCCTTGGAGCCCTGATCTGCAAACTGTCTAGTGATGATGACGGCGTCTACTGTACATATTGAATGTGCACACAGTTGAAAACACTCTTAAACAGAGTTGTCTTTTTTTTCTTTTTGTCATTTTTCTTTTTTAATTTTGGAATAACACAAAGCCTGACATATACCAAGGGTGACGCAATGATGTCGTATAGTCATAATGCACATCAAAATACATCTCCGAAGATAAGAGCATTATAATAAAATACTGTGTCCATTTTTTTCTTAACTCTTCAATATCAGAATATTTAGAACCTGTAAAGCACATCATCATGTACAGTTTCCTTTTTTGTTTCATCTTGTTTTAAACACAAACGCACACATTGAGATAGTACATCCAGTGGTTGGCTGTTGTTTTTTTGATGCATGACATCTTGAATTGGAGATGAACTTCTTCACTCACACAGACACATATGCACAAACACACTGATGATGTGGCTGTAGAATGACAATTCTATGATTATCACACACACACACACACACACACACACACACACAAGCATTCACACCTCTTGGATCACAGTCAAGGTACCCAGAGGGATGCTCCTGTCCAATCAGTGTCCGCCAGGTGTCTGAATATGATAGCAACCCATCCGAAGGCAGAACACACACACATATTCCTCGCTCTGCATTTCAAACAGCCCCCCCGTGCACTGGGCCCTAGGCACACAGTCTCTAAAGCGCAGTCTATCCTCCTGTTAAACAGTGCCGCTGCCTTCTGCGTTCCAGTAAGGGGCTCCGTGTAGAAAACACATTTCCAGGCCGGGTTCAGGGAGCAGCTATTCTCTGCGGGGCCATTCTCCAGGGTTTGTATTGCTCCAAGCTCCACCTCAGTGCAGCCTTTTACCCTCCCCCAGCCCCACTGGCCAATGTGCTTGTCCGGCATCAGTCATCACTATGTTTTTAGGTATAGGTGGCTGTTAGGACAGCATTTTTGCTTGCCTTGCTGGATAGGTGATGCTTGACTGGCTGAGAGGTGGTGTGCTGGAATATCTTACAGGTCCTAGGTAGAAAAGAGAGACTGAGATGAATAGACGTCACAAACATGCAGAGAGGAACAAATGTGTGAGTTGTGCCAGGGGTCTTGAGATCTTCCCCTGTGTGTCTTCCACCTGTGACATTGGCTTTGCACTCACAGCACTGCCGAAATACTTAGCACACATAGCATTTCCTGTAATTTATGAGCCTTTATGTTCAGTTGGTATGCATCTAAACTATTATGAAAACTGCGCAGGATGTGTTTTTATTAACTCAAAAGCTATAATACACATACATTCAGGTATACTGCAGGTGGAGGCGCCTCCTGTGGAGGCAGGCCTCATATGTATGAGTTGTACAAGCGTCTTTGTGAGTGTGCAAGAGTATTTTCTGCAGACATGAAAGCGAGCTGGCTGCAGTGTGCATGAGTGGGGCGATGAATGCAGCTGGCCAGTGAACCAGCTCCACTGTGAAAGACACAGCAGGAACGCCCACTAATTGCGCTGCTGTGGCGGCGGTGGTGGTGGAGCGCTTTTCTTTCCCCTTATCCTCCTCTGCAGCCCCCCAGTATCTCTCGTTCACTCTCTCTGTCTTTTTCTCTGAACTGCCAGTTGCCCATCCTTATTGCCTGGACTCAGACCAGCAGCTTTGCTCCCTGTCTCTTATCTCTCCCTCTTTCTTTCTTTCTTTCTTTCTCTCACTCCCTCTTTGAACTTACCCTCCCTCACACCCTCTCTTTCTGTTTACCTCCCTAGAGTAACTCTTACTCTTTTACACCTTCAATTTCACCAGTTTTTTTTCACAGAGTCTCTCACTTTGTTTCTCTTGTTGCCCTTCTTTTCTCTTTCTATCTCTGTCTCTTTCATTCTGTCGCTCTCTGATGTAACTGCCCCCGTTCGTCTTTTGTTCCCACTCAGCCGCAGCACGAAACAGTTTTTCTTCTCCCTGCCTCTCCGCCTGTCTTTCTCCCGCTCGCTACGTGTATATATGTGTGTGAGCTTACAGGTAACCTGTTAATGAACCTGTGTGGACGCACACAGTGTGTGTCCCTTACCTCTAGAGAATCCTCAGCTGAAGGCAGCATGTGTGTTACCATTAACCCTGAAGTGAACGCAGGCAGAGGGAAAATTTCAGAGGGGGACCCATGGGTGGGGTGGTTGTGTGCCTGTGTGTGTATGTGTGTGTACGTATGTGTTTGCTCTGGCCTTTGATTAGGCTGCTCAGTGTAAATTGGCATAGCACAGACCCACACATATAGACCTTCAGATCCCTCAGCTGATGACAGCTCTGCCTCAGCCCGCTAACAACAATCTCTCCCTGTCTTGCTCTCCTTTTCTCTCAGTTTCTCATACTCTATTTCTGCTGCTTAGACGTGGGAGTTGAGGTGAAGAGAGGCGGGTAAGGGGGGTGGAGAGGAGATGAGAGAGAAAGAGGGAGGAAGGGATGAGGGGAGGACGACTGAAAATGGAAAAGGGAGCTCACAGGAGATGCAAGGTGATCTGATAGACGGAAGGGAGCTGGAGCAGCAGGGAAGCGCAGAAGCAAAATAAGGGGAACAGGGAAAATAAATGATGGGAAGAGAAATAACAAGAGAAAGAGGGAGAGAGTAAGAGAGAAGGGTAGAGAGAGCATGTGGGGAGGATAGCAGGCACTGATGCTGGGTGGGGTGTTCTGATTAGCAGCCAGCTTTTCATCCCTGTCAGTCTGCACAGAGAACAGGAGAGGAAGGGGGTGAGAGGGAGGTGGAGAAGAGAGATGCAGAGAGAGGAGGGAGGAGGGGAGGTTACTGCCACTGCTGCCTCAATGCACCGCTGCTCCCTGCTGAATGTCAGCATCTCCCCTTCTCTACTCCCCCCTCACTCCATTTGACCTTCCTCCATGTGCTGCAGTTTAAATACACCACCACCAGATGGCGTCTGTCTTACAGGAAAGTTTACTGTGGAGAGGACTGTTCATAATAACACAGAAACGGGGACCCATTGTGATTGCAGTGGTCTGTAGTCATAACAATGGCTGTTGAGTAACAGCAATACACAAATGGCACATAACTAAGTGTTTACACAGCTAGCAGTGGTGGATATGGGTTCAGCTTGCCAAGGTCATTGGGTACACATTGGTTTGGTAACATGATATCTATCGGTCAGTCCAAGACAAGCTCCAGGCCTTCATGGGTTAAAGACTGGCACAGGGGTAGAAAAGGGTACTTGATACCAGTGTACAGTGAACACCAGCCGGGACCCTCGTGTTTTCTCCTTTGAGTCTTTCTCTGTTTTACAAGAGCTGACAATTGTGTTTTGTGTTCTGCACTGTATCATCTATCCAGCCATGGTGCTGCTGCTTGTGACAGCAATGTGTGAACAATTTTTTTTTCTGTGCCAGGATGAGAAGGATGAAGGGTGGAGCGGAGCAAGGGGGAGAAAAAAATAGGATAGGAAGAGAGGGGATGGGTGGGGAGAAAAAAAACAAAATGCACTGTGGTTCTTAGAGCAGAGCAGGTATAAGTGCTGTAATGGGAACAGAAACATATGCACATCTACTGTACATAAACATATATGTAAAAACTAATGTCCGGGAGGTTGTTACCCTAGAGAGATACTAAGGCGCATTATCTTGGTTCCAAATATCCTCTCCATCTAACCCTCCCCCTTTCTTCTTTTTCATGACTCACTGTTATTAAAGGAGGGTGCAGTAATAATTTGGTACCAATCAGTAGAAGTCAGCTGAAACGGTTTAGAAACCTTCTAAAATGGATAACTGAAGGATTGGCATGCATTCACTAGTTTTGAGGTTTTCAGTTTCTTACCTCATGTTTAGGACATTTGATGGAGAAGTCATCCTCGTGGAATGTGCAGCCTAGGCAGGGAGAGAGAGATTGCAAAAGAAAAGGAGAGAATAAGCTACAGTGTTGCAGATAGACAATGACAATAAATTAATCAAATAGCATGAGGAGTGCAGACAACAACCCCTACATCCCCCCTTTGGAAAATCCAGATACATGACAAAGAAGTGGGGTTAAAATGAAGAATGTGCAAGAAAGAAAGAGAGAGACTGAGTGGATGAGTTGCAATGCAGGCAGGCAGGCAGAGGCAGGCAGTCAGATATGGCTGGTGCACTCAGCAGGATTAAAAAGGGCCTCGCTCTGCTCCCTGTGCTGGCTAGGCAGACGTGGCAGGCCTTCTAATCCTCACACTGTACTTCTTTGGCATGAGGTAATGTAAGGGGAAACCATACAACACATGTGCTGACACACAGACACTCACTTCTATTGACCAGGGACACACACGCAAGCATTGACGGGAACATAAGCCACCTGGTTGTACAACGCACACAGGGAATTTATGCAAGCATTCATGCAGGAAGGCACACACATAGATGCACGCAAACACACACACGCACACACACTCAGTCCCCAGACACCAGATTGGATGGACTGAGCCACAGGGGTAGTGGTCAATAATGCACACATACACACCCTCCTCCCTCTATCTCTTCCCACTCTCTCTCTTGCACACTCCAGGGTCCCAGTTTCTTCTTACCATCCCCTTTATTCAAAGCTCCCTCCCTCTTTCCTTCTCTCCTTTCCTCTTTTGCTCTCCCCTAGCACTCTCAGAAATCTCTCTTCACACTCAATAATGTTACTTCTTGATGCCTTTTCCTTCTCTCATTTTACCTGCATCCACTTTCCCTCCCCTTTCTTTCTTCCCTCTCCTTTCATTTCCTCCCTCCCTATTGCCCTCTAAACCCATGTTCAGTTTCCCATTCCCAATTTCCCTTCTTATTTCTCCTCTCTCTCCCTGACTTTTCATCCTTTGTTGCTCTCTTCCTCTCTTGCTGTGGTCTCTTACCTATCTCTTTGGCGCAGACATAGTGGTATTTATGAGAGCAGCCTCTCCAGCAGCAGCTGAGGGACGCCCCCACAATCTGGCACTTGTAGCAGCTCTGGGGTTAGTCAGACAGACGGACATATGGACCAAGACCAATAAAGAAACAAACAAATTGACCGATGGAGGCACATAGGGATGGAGAGAAGAAAAAGAGGGAAAAAGTCAGAAGTTAATGGCAATTTCTCATAGAAGCTGCACAGATTCTGAAAGTGACTGTACATTGTATCTCTCGTCGCTTTATAAACATGCACACATTTCAAAATAGACTCAGTGTTGATAATTGCTGTTGTACCGTTTGGGCTGAGTTGTTGGCAGCCTCCTTCAGTCCGTACAGCCTCCCAGCTACCATAATTACCCCCTTAGTCCAGATGGCACAATTTTCATGCGCCCAGTGCTCCTTAGCTTCTGCCTCCGCTTGTAGCCTTTGGAACATGCTGTCGCTGCTCCCTTGGTCACTTGAGGCTCCTGTGCTGATGGCCTGGAGCTGCTTCACCCTCCTGAACCTCTCTCTGAGAGTTATTCTTCGTGGACCAGCCTCCTGACCCGTTCTTTCTGTTCTTTCTGCCCGTCTGTAGCGCCAATGATGGTGTCTGCTACTGCTGCTCTCTTGAGCGGATGCTTCTGTATTGCCCTCCTTTTCTGTGCTGCCCTCATCCTCATTCTTTGAGGAGCTGCCTGGTTCTTCAGTGCTGCTACTGTTGTTATCATTGGTCTTCTCTGACTCTTCCCTGAGGGATTCTGTGTGCCTGATCGTCAAAATTTTCCGCGGAACGCCATCCTCTGTGTAGTATGGTCCACACAAATCACCTAGGTCCCTGTAATTTGCTGGCTTTCCACACAGGCTACATGTAAGACACCTGTCAATTAGATTTTTATTCACCAAGGGTCCCTTTAGCATGGCAGCAGTGTGTGGCACTACCTTTGCAACTGTGAAAGGATTCCTCATTCTGAGTATGCCCTTTTTTCTACGTCTCTGAAATATTACTGCATCTTCAGGCTTGTTGACAATGGCACACCAAGAGGAAAAGTCTCTGGAGTTGTTGATCCGTACATAAGGACAGAAAGACAGTTTAGAATTTCGATGGACTGGTTTGCGCCTGATTCTTTTCACAGAAATGGTTTCAGTCTGTTTTTCTGATATTGTCACTACAGGACCCACGATACATGCCGTCTGTTTTTTCTTATTTTCTCTTTCGCTTTCTTCTTTTTCTCTCTCTTCTTTTTCAGCCCGTTCACATCCCGCAGCCCTTACTACTGCCTCAATAACCTCGATGGCGTCTTTCATCCCAGGTTTTGGCCCAGGCTTTTTGTGGACCTTAATTGGCTTGCCAGGAACCTGCTCTGATGAGGCTTTGCCTCGTTTCCTCTTGGATGGATTTGCTGATGGTTTTCTGCCTCTTCTAGGTTTCTGGATGAGTTCTGTGCAGGTAACCTGGGGGGCTTCTGTGATATCATCTGGGCTGATTGGCAGAGGTACTGTGGACTCTGTGGGGGTTGCCTTCTCTTCTACCCTCTCTTGTTGTTCTTCTGTTTCAATATTTGGCTCCTCAACTGTCTTTATTTCTTCCAGAGGGGCTTGGCCTTTTCTCTTCTTTCTCCTCTGCTTTAGGTGCATCTCATGGTTGTTTTTAATGGCTCTCTGCTTGGCTAGCCTTGGCGTTGTAACTATTAGGCTCCCTGCTTCCAAGGCTATTACTGAGGCATCTGTACTCTCTACCATGGCCCATCTCTTTCTTTTAGTTCTGGCTGACTTAGTGGCAACAGAAGATATACCTTCTGAGGCCTGTTGTGTCCACTTTCCTGGAGGCTTGACTTCTACTGGGGCCTCCATTGAGCTCCAAACCGTGTCAGTGCCAACATCCTGCTGTGTAGCTGGCTTAATGTTTTCCTGTCTTGTCTCTTCCTTATTAACAACCTCTTCTCCCTCCCCTTGTCTCACCTCCTCTGGCGTCGAGGCCTCTTCACTGAGCTTTTCTCTTTTTTGTGTCATCTCCTCTTTTCTCAGTGGTTTCACTTCTTCTTGTCTAGACTCTATGCTTTTCACTTCTTCCTCTGTCATCTCAGTGCTATTTATGAGCATAGATGTCTCACCTTCCTTTAAGACATGTTGAGACAAAGCCTTGGTTGTCACATCATCAGTTAGATTGCTGTCTATCTGGGGAATTGGGAGATGTTTCTTCGAACTAGGAGATGTAATTTTCTGCACCATGGCCTCATATTTCTGTCCTCTTCCTTTGCGTGGTGGAAGAACTTTTGTTTTAGTGGGGCATTGAGGAGGCACCACAGGCACATCATTAGTGATGTCAGTTTCACTGATGGGAGTAGTGTCTTTAGGTGGGGGAATGACCACAGAGGCTTTCTTGGGTGGCCCTCGCTTTCTTCTGGGGCCCCGGACACCCTTCTCTTTAGGTGTAGAGACAACCGGTTCCAGCAGGGGGGGTTGAGGTGGTAAGGGTTTTGGTTTGGGCTTTGGACCCCTTTTTTTCTTTACTGGCATTGAAGAAAGGTCTGGGCTAGGTTTCCGTTTTAGTGGAAGTGATTTCTTTTCTTCAGATTGTTCAGTTTGGGTTGGTTGGGAAAGGGGTGCAGGTGGTTCTGCTGAAACATCTTGGTTTTTGACTGCATTAGGAATGAGAGTTACAGTTTGTTCCACAGTAACAGGTTCCTCTACTTTTGGAGAAACATCACTGGCTTTAATTTCTGTCAGTGTCTGGGGTAGAATATCTTCTCCTACAATTTTTCCTTTTTCTTTTGACAGTTTTTCTTGCGGGGGCTTTCTGGATCTTAAGACCATATTCTTACCCTCCTTCTCTGGTGCCTTTGCCTCGTGGTTTGCTTGTTTTTCCTCTTCGTTTACTGGTTTTACACCCTGGTTTACTTTTAATAGTGTAGATTTTAGATTGCCCTTGCCCCTGCCCCTGCTTTGCAGTCCTGTCAAAGGCTGAATGATTTCTTCTGACTGTACGAGCTTTGCTTTAGAAACTGAGCCTTTGGGACGACCAACTGGGGCCCTGATAGGTGCAGTGTCAGCAGGGGGCAAAACATCTGCAGGCTTAGGTCCTGGTTTTGGACCTGGTTTTAGTGCTGGTTTTGGACCAGGTTTTGGTCCAGGTTTTGACCCAGGTTTTGAACCTGGTTTAGGTCCTGGTTTTCGTTTCACAGGAGTCTCTATTTTCGTTGGCAGCTCTGGTTCATTTGGCACAGGTTTTGGTCCTGGTTTTGGTCCTGGTTTAAGTCCAGGTTTTGGCCCTGATTTTGGTCCAGGCTTTAGGCCAGGTTTAGGCCCTGGTTTTGGACCTGGTTTTGCTCCTGGTTTTGGCCCTGGTTTTAGTCCAGGTTTTGGTCCTGGTTTGAGCCCAGGCTTTGAACCTGGTTTTGGGCCTGGTTTTCTCTTCACATGAGGCTCAACTTTGGGAGGCAAGTCTGGTGCATTGAATGAGCGAGTGCACATTCTTGAACGAAAACCATCAGTTAGCATTTTGGGAGTGTGGCTCACAATAGATTCTTGATGAGCTAGGTCCATTTGGTCTGAGAATAGCACAGTCTTGCTTGGAGGCATGCAGGGTTTCTGTGTAGGCGAGGGGGCTCCTTCCTCTTCTTTTTCTCCCTCCCTTCCCAAACTTAGCTGTCGCCTGATTCCCGCACCTGAATGCATGATTCTTCTTCTGCCCCGGGCATGCTTACGTCCAAATGCCCTCGGCTGAGCAGATGGGGCCACAGGCTCTGGCTTGGCCAAGGGGGTCACAGCACTGGCACAGCTGATGCCTGGCTCCATGTCTTCATCACCTTTTTTTGGGGAGGGTGGAGTGTCTGCCCAGGAGGGGGCTGAGGGAAGTATTGACTTCCCTGGCAGCTGAGGAGAGTCTGGCTCCAGCACTTTAGCATCACTGTGATCAATATGATCCCTGGACTGAGCTGGTGGTGTAGCCTTGTCATTAAGAGCTGAGAAGACTGGCATAGCAGACTGAGGCTGAGGAGCAGTGTCACCAATGGCCGACTCTCTTGCAGAAGCATCTGCTGCTGTTGCTGCTGCTGCATTTGGATGGGCAGGTGCCCCAGCAGACTCATTGTCAGTATGAAGCTCTGTACTCTGACTCTCTCTCTCTGTCCTGCTGCAGTGATCTCCAAGAGGCTTCTCTGGCCCATCTCTATTATTCATGTGCTCTTCAGTCGATGACTGACTGACTTTTTCCCCCTCCCCCAGTTCCTCTGAAACCTCTGCAGACACAGGAGGGGAAAGAGAATGTTGCTTTTGTTTCTGTATTTCATCGGCCTCCTCCTCACCTTCCCCCTCTTCTTCTTCATCCTCGTCATCTCTGCTCTCTCTCTTGTCTGAGTTGCTCTCGTCCAAGGCATCAACTTGGGGGGTTGGAGAGGTATTCTCTGAGCTGTCCTCTTTCTCTGTGGAATATTGATCCTGTTCAAGGTCACCCCTAGAAATGAAAGGCAATGTTTTCACTGAGCTCTCAGAAGCAGTTGGAGACTCGGATTTAAATACCTCTGATTTCATCTCTTGGCCAAAGTGTTCCTTCTGACTGGAGTCAGAGAGAGCTGCTGGGGACTGTTCAACTGAGTCTCTTGCATCAGGGTCATATTTGCTCTGGACCCCTTGGTACACTGTCTCCTTATAGCAATAGATTTTTTCTGCCACCTCTTTGTTTACTTTGCTGTAGAGAGCAGGGCATTTCTCTTCATCTGACCATTTCTCCAGATTCTCTGTAGATTTAGTTGTGTCTGAATCTCTCTCACAGTCAGGTTTTTTTTCTGTTGTCACCTCCTCTTTGTCAGCTGATTTCTCTGTCCAGGCTGATTCTTCAAAGTTCTCTTTGACAGGTTCATTTATATGCTGTATATGTGAAGGGGAGTCCCTTTCTTGTTTCAAGGGACTGGGGATTGTTATGCTTGTAGGAGACCTTTCATCACCAAAGGTCTTCACTGGAGTACTCATGCTATCTCCTCCCTGCCCTGACTGACATCTGGTAGGGTCAGGGGTAAGGTTGTGCAGGCCTGAGTCCCCAGATCTAGTGGACATATCATCTGGAGATGTCATGGAGCATGAAGAGGTTGTGTCCAGGCTGAGATGTGTATTACTGGGTGCCTGTGCTGGACTTCTGCCCTGGCCACAGTAGTAGTAACCTCTCTCCAGTTGTTCATCACTACTGCTGGAGTAGCCACCCTCGTGGAGTTCCATGGGCATTGGCTGGTGCTGTGGGGTAGAGTAAGGGTCCTGCATGGCGCCTCCACCTACACTACTAACACCAGCATCTGGATATGGAGGACTTTTGTACTCCTCACCCTTTTTGGAGGATGCTACACTTCCAGCACTGCTGTTGCTCCCTCCACTGTTGCGCTTACTGCCTTTCTTGTTGGCCACCAGGGCCTCTGAAAGCAACAGCTGCTGGACATTATTAGAGATGTTCTCTACCTGAGAGGTGAGGGCATTCAGGCTCCACAAGCTGGGGTTTGACAACAGTTTCTCTGAAAAGCGTTCTTTCATGGTGGGGACCTGCGGTGTGGTAGTGTAACTGTGGGGGGCTGCATGGGGCACATTGGGTGAGGGGTGTGAGCGTGGGGGCATTAACATGGTGTTGGTACTGCCTTGCTCCTGCATACCAGCTGAAGAGGATGAAGAAGAGGAGGCTGCCCCAGGGGTCATGGGAGGTTGGCCATACTGGAACGATTCTGGATTGGTCATTAGTGGTGAAGGGGTGGAGCTGTATGAGGGGGAGCGCCCTACAGAGCGTGCAGGGGAGTGGCTTGAGGAGGGGCTACAAGTCTGATAATACTGTTCTGGTGATCTGACAGACAGCTCTGAGAGACAGTAGTTTTGTTGGGGTTGGCTGTAGTGTTGGTATTTTGTGTGGGGCTCCTGGGGGTTGGTCATGGCCTGTAAAGAGGGCTGCTGCTCATAACCTCTGGATGGAGGCTGTTGATAGCCGTAACTGTTCTGGGTCGACCTGTAACCCCCCTGCTTCAGATTGCTGTGGCTCATTTGTCTCCCATACTGGGAGTTGGGGGGCATATTGTAACCTTTATAACAGTGAGGCATAGGGCTACACTTTTCCATGTATGGCGAAGGGGAGGGTGAGTGCTGGGTGTAATGCAGGTGACTCTGGGGGTACATGAGAGGGGATGGGGCAGGGTTAGGATTGTGGGGCTGGTGATGGGGGCTGGTATAGGCAGGGGTGGAGGGCTGGTGGCACTGGGTCTGGGAGTGGCCCAGTATGTTCTGTTCCATGTACTGGGAGGAGCCAGGTGCAGGGGTAGCACCAGCCTCCATACGTCCCACCATCTCCTGATCATACTGTGCTAACTGGGCTGGGTCCTCCCATTTCTGCTGGAGGTGGCCCTCGCTCATATACTGGGCTGAGTAATTCCCAGGGCCCATGTGGTTACTATAGCCCCCAGGGCCTTGTAGGTGCTGACTGGGGTTTGGTTGGGGCACTTTGCTTCCCCTGTAGGGTTTCTTTGCCTGCGAGGGTGCTGAGCCTCCATTTCCACTCCCATTCCCTCCACCATTGCCTGGGTAACCAGGGTAGGCTTGCTGGCTATAACAGTCCTTGGGTCCTCCTCCAGTTCCTGGTCCTCCAGCTGGAGGCATGCTCGTTGGGTTCCCCAGTGAATGAGCCTCATAGCCTGACCTGGCATGCCCTGAGCCTGGGCCTGGACCTGGATGTGGACCGGGACCTGGGTGTGGGTGCTGGGGGTGGGGATGATGCGGGTGTTGGCGGTAGGTTTCCAGGCGGGATAATTCATGGGGCTCCTGCTGGTAGCAGGGTTGGTTGCTGTGGTAACCACCGCTGCGCTCACGGAACGACTGCATAACTCTCTCCGTCTGTAGCCAGAGCAAGGAGGGGGAGGTGAGGTGAGATGGGAAAGGGGGAAGGGGGGTTAGGGGTTCTGAAGGCAGGGAGAGAGGGAGGGACAAGAAAAAAGAGAGAGAAATTATGGGGGTTAGTGCAGTTGAGCCAGGGGTTTATCCATTCTGCATTTTCTCATTTCATATTCACTGTCTAATTCTATTTTAACATTCACCTAAAGTCATCGCAAAATTCTTCCCCTCTTTGAGAACCACTGGAGATGATAATCTTTCACACTCATTCACACATACACACACACACAGGTGTTCACATCCCACGCAGAGGCAGTATTATTTAGATATTCCATCCACAAATACACAAATATATTCAATTCATTGGCATAATTTCATTCACAACAACTGTATTTGAAATTGCTCACAGCTCTAATATTTGTCCAGATTTGAAGAAACTGTGCATGTGTGTGTGTATGTGCATTTTTGTGTGTGTGTGTGAATAAAATGGCCCCTAAATGGTGGAGGCTCCAAGATCTGTTTCAGCTTCTTAAGATGGAGGGGCAGACATGTGATGCAGTCTCTGGTGCAATGATTGACATGCCTGTGTAAGAAAGGAGAAAGTGAGATTGGTGTGTTGGAACTTACTTAAATAATCATAACAATGGTAACACAGCACCTGTGTGTGTGTGTGTGAATGTATGATTGAGGCCAGGCAAATGTTGAAAGACCGCAGGCCACAGCAATCACATGACGTCTGAAGAGCATTTGTGTTAGGTTGTAACACTGGCTCTGAGTCTGAACTGAATTTGTACGATGCATTATTCATAATTGTTTTGGATCAAATATGATCCCTAGATGTAGCCCTTTTTTTTCCTAACCACTCTAAGATATTAAAATGTATTACATAAACAAACAATGTAAAATGATATTTTCTTGTTTGTCTTGGATGCAGTTTTTCATAAAAGCTTTAACTGAGCCCTCTTTTTCTTCTTCTCTCTCCGCCCTGTCTTTTCCCGCACAGATGCAAACACCAATTTCCTCCAAGGGATGTAAGAAGTGGTACAGTGTGTGTTTGCGTGCATGCTTTCAGTACACCAGTAGGGGTGTCACAGAGTGTGTTTGCATGCTTTTTGTTTGGTGTGTTTGTTCCAGTTTGTGAGTGCACATGGCACTGTTTTTCTGTAATCTTTTGCTTGCCTATGCATGTGTGTGTGTGTGTGTGTGCGTGTGTGTGTTTATGCATTCATACAAAAGAAAAAGGAAGAGAGGAGGGGTGGAGAGTGCTCTATTAAAGGAACAGAGTCACCTGGAGACAGAGCACTGAGCTTGTGTGTGTGTGTGTGTGTCTTCGTGCTTGTGTTTGTGTGTGTCAGTCAGTTCCAGCACAACATCCCGGCATTCAATCTGCCCCAGGGACGGTGGTGCATCCCACCAGACGCACAGCAGCATTATTCATCTCTGAAACACACAGTTTGTGTGCGTGTGCGTGAGGAGGCAAAGCAATGTGTGAATATTGCGTGCCTTCCTTCTTGCATGCGCATGCCTGAATGTGAGTTTGTGAGGTCTGTTGTGTTTATGTATGCAGGTCCATAGCTTTTGGCAGCCCCTTAAATATACACAAACACACAACATGCACACACATTTATAGACAAACACACACACACGCACATGTACACGCGCGCACACACACACGCACACACACACACACACACACACACACACACACACACACACACACACACACACACACACACACTTATAGATTCCCCTGGAGATTCTCTGTCCTCCCTCCTACCTTCCTATCTCCCCTGCCTGCAGCCTGCTAGTGCTTCACCCGTGGTGAAGTGTGTGTGTGAGGATACTAGTTTACACAATGACCTAAATAAGATGCTTATAGGGGACAAGGGGTGGGATTCTGCCAGACCAAGCTTGCCGAGCACAGCAGAGAGGATGGACTGAGGCATCGCTTTTGGGATCCAGTGTTGTGAGACCATGTGTTTATCTGTACATTTGTGTGAGCTTCTGTCACATCTGCTCTCCTCCACAATAGGCTGTTATGAAGAGTAATTAATTGAATTTTTCACTGTTTTTGTGGCTCTCACTAAAAACAAAGCAAGCTAACCGAATAAACCCCCTCCCCAATCAATTTACTTCACTCCTCCTTCTGTCTGTTCTCTCCTAGTCAAACCCGCAAGTGGCGTCTCTACATTCCAATCACGTCTCCTCTCCACCTCCACGCCGTGCCGCCTCCTTCCATTTCTATCTTCCACAGAGAGCCCTGGCATTGTGGAGCTGAGCCAACTGCTGTATTTGTGGATGCACCACGTCATGTCGCGCTGCTCCCTGCCTCAGTAGGGGTCAGAGAGGAGAGAGGACGAAGGATACATGTTGAGATTTCCGAATCCTCTCTGTTGATCTGTCTATCTGTTTATTAGGTAGGCCTAGCACTTGCATTGATTTTGCTGCTGCTTGAGCACAGAGAAGGAGGGATGAAGAAGAAGCAAACACACATATGCAGTTGTTTGCAAACACACACACACACACACACACACACACACACACACACACACACACACACACACACACACACACAGACACACACACAGCAAGACACCTACATTGGTTGTCTTTTGTTTTCTTGTATGTGTGAGATTGTTTTTTAAGCTTGCTCTTTTTCATTTTTACATTGACTGCCTGCTTCTGTCTCTCAACACAATGTTATCTGTACAGATAGGCAAATCTCTCTGGCACCCCTGCGCCGTGACTGGGGAGGAGAATGGCAATGGGATGGGATAGACGACCAGGCGTTGGGGGAGGAGAGAAAGAAAGAGCCAGTTGAGGCTGGGGGAAGAGACTGAGGGTGGGGGAAGTGGAGGGAAAGAGTGATAGAATGATAAGTTTGAAGAGAGGAGGAAGATGAGGAGTAAGGGATGGAGAGGACAGAGGAGGATAGATGATTTACTGAGTGGGCTTTACAACCTGGGCTCCTGGGAAATATGAACTGCCTAAATTGCTACAGACACAAGTGCACATTTAACACACACAGACGCATGCAAAATGGTAGATTGTGCACAAGCCTACAATACGGCGGGTTCTATAATTAGCCAAATGCTTCACCCTTACAGACAAACACGAGTTGCTAAAGGAGTGACTGATTATCTTTGGCTCTGCCCACTTTAAATCTTATCAAGGCAGCTGCCCTCACAACCCTCATGTTGTTGTAAACTTTAAAATGAATGTTGGTGTGCTTTTCCATGTGTATCTTTGAAAAAAAAATGTACCCGGGAGGTTCTGTGTCTCTCTGTAAATAAAATATTGTCAGGAAGCAAGGACAGGAGGAAAGGAGTGTAATGGAGGGAGGCAAGGGTGAGGGAAGAGAGGAGGGCGAATCTGATTGTTCCGCTGGATGGTTCATAATGCGCAGAGCTGCGACTGGTTACAGTCCCCCGTTCATTCTTTTTTTATCCTCTCTCCCTCTCTTTCATCGCATCATCTTCAGAGGCAGCTTGAGATGGGATTTATCTTCTTCCTCTCCACACACACACACACACACACACACACACACACACACAAGAGGGAAAACAGACAGCTCACTCGTTCCATCAACTCTGGCTCTGAAGCACTTTTGCTTCAAGTCTTTTTCCTGCTCTCTGTCTGTCTGAAACAAACAAACACACATTTTAAATGCGCAAACACACACACACACACACACACACACACACAGACACCCACATAAATGGAGGCATACAGAGTGGAAGGATGAAGCGTCTCCCTGTGTGTTTACCTCCCCAGTCATCCTGGTTAATTATGCATGCAGAGGCAGTTTGCTGGGGAGGTGGAGCGGCCTGGATGCACACTCACCCCATCACAGATATTTAAAAACACTCGCACTTTGCCACCACCACTGGAATCATCACAACATGCACCAGTACCGCACTCGAAAATAACCCAAGCATGCCACTACCCCCCACCCCCGACCTCACCACACACACACTGTTGTCTAACACATCTGTCTTTAACACCCTGCTTAACACAGCACGCGCCAAAATAACACAGCAACCCGCCCTGCCGATGCTCCCAATCAGCACGCTGCTTTCCCCTTATAATTACACACACTTCAATAAGGCACAGAGAGCTTTCAGATGGCTCCAACTATCATTCTCCCTGTTCAGACTGTCTGACTGCATCCTCCCCTCTCAGTGGACACAGTGCCCTTTCGACTTGATAACCGCAGGTTCAACGCGTTGCAAAGACAGACAGACAGATGGACAGGCAGACACACGTCTTCTCTCCTCCTCTCCACTACAGTGTCTAGCCAGGCTGTGTGGGTGGGTTCCTACCCAAGGGAGAGGCTTAGGAGACGGAGGAAGCCAATATCTGCTCTGACATTTGTCAGTGTCCCGTTGTCATGACACACAGCTGGAGGTCACGGGGGGTCACTGGCAGCCAGTCACATAGATTATAGGAAGAGACATAGAGGGGGCGGAGACCTGCTATTGACACTCACAGATAGACAGACAGACAGATGGACAGATGGCGCTTTGAGGCTACTGGACAGGCAGCAAATAAACTTGATCCGAGGGCTGACAGTGAGGGACTGGTGCGTACAAAAGCTTTTATGAATGACGTAACCAGTCAGATCATATTAAGCACGTTGCTCATACATTAAGTTGCTTATGTTCAACATAAATGTAATGATTTCCAACAAATAACATTCAAAATTACCGTCAGAAATGGAAAACATTCATCTGTAAGAAATGGAGACCTCATCTTGACTCTTGTCTCTCTCTTCTACCCATCGTCTCCATCTGTTTGCCTATTTTCCTCCCTCAGTCCTACCCAATGTGTTACACTGGCATCAGAGTTTAAAAATCAGGCAAGATTGCCAAAATCATTTGAATGGAAATTAACTACTTGATTAAATCCAGCCCTAGGTTTTTGTTGAAGAGTTTCTCACTGAGCTTTGAGGCTGAAATGGCTCAATAGCATCCAAAACTGAGGAAACTGAGCCTTACCCTGGTCGATCTGAAAGACCATTTTGGGGATTTTTGTGAGTGAGGCCAGTTAATGCATGGTCTGTGTTTGT